AGAATGCCTCCCACACTTCCGCGAAGGGCGGTCGGAGCTCAGCATATTGCGCAAGCATCCGGCGCATACACAAGAGCGTTTGAGCAACCCACTGCATACGGGGATGAATAGACCAGCCTTTGAACGGCAAGGTGTAGAGCAGCTCCTCCAGTGGAAAGTGGGGGCTACGACTCCAAACAGCCTTCTTGACGGCAACAGTGAGTGGCGCTAAGGCTTCAAGGGAAGCAGGCCCAAATTCCAAGCCGTAGGCATACTTGCTAGACGCAGCGGTGGCACACACCTGAGCCTTGGCATCAATGCTGACAGGTAGAGAGTCAATGCGACTCGCAATGCGGGCAGCCACAGTGGCACGCTCATTTTGCTGGGTATAGTCACGCTTACGGTGGAAAGAGATGCTAACACCAAGCAGGGACATGTGCTGCGCGGTCGGGAGCACTGGAGCCGGGACACGCGTGGTAGTGTTGACAAAACATGGGTGCATCTTGGTACTAATGCGCCGACGCTTTGCAGGTGGCTGAAGCACGATAGTAGCCGGCATCGGAATTTGCCGCTTACGGAATCGGCGTGCAGTCTGAAGAGGAAGAGCCCAGTATGTGGACTTCACAGTGTTCGGGCGCCCACCCATCAGTACATCATACAGAAAAGTCTCTTGAGTAGCCCTGACCACTTTCTCAGGGCTTGCATCGGCCAGCGTGCGGTCATCGATGTAGCTGGAAAATGCCATGTCAGGGAAAGAGTCCTCCAGGCAGGATGCCCACACCGACGTATACATGCCTACGAGGATGAGGGAGAGGCTACATCCTTGGAATACACCGTTGGTGGCAAACCACTGCTTTCCACACGATTGGCCAAGCTTGAAGAATCTGAGGCAATTGGTGTAGTATGCACGGAGCGTGCGAAGCAACGGCGCGGGTAGTCCAAAAGCAGCGGCCAGCTCAAGAATCATGTCCCACTGCAAGAGGTCAAAGAATTTTTCCGCATCAATGCTGGCACCGGCCCACTCAGCACCAGTAAGGAGAGCCTTTTCAGTTTGCAGTGCAAGCTTCCAGATGGCCTGCCGAGTTTGGCGGCCGCGCCTGCCACCTAGAACAGTGGGATGAAGCACACGCTCAGCCCATTGGTGAAGCTGCTGAAACCGGATAGACGTCCACAACCGATACAAGACCGGGAGCACAGTTATAGGGCGAAACTTAAACGCAGAATCCTGGGCCCCAGGCTTTGGCAAGAGTGAGATTGCCGCATGCAGCACCTGAGACGGCCAGAGATGACACGTTTCAATGGTGTTCAAGAGCTGGGAGATAGGCTCATGCGCAGCAGGGGGCAAAGACTTCCATTCAGCAGGAAACCATCCATCCGTACCCGCAGCACTGGAGACCTTCCACTTACGAATGGCCTGTGCCACATCCGCCGCAGTAATGTCAGGCAGTTGACATGGGTAATATGCTGCATTTATCTGCGCCGCATACCGGGTGTGGAAGGTTTGCCACACAGCAGCAGGATGTTTGTCAAGACGCCTGAAAATGTCCATCCACTCAGTTTGGAGATGCGAATGTATGTCGTCAATCCTGGCAGTCGTGACACCATTGATGCACATACACTTAAGAGCGGCAGCGCCAGTCTGTTTGAGCCAACGATAGACATCAGTTTTGGAACTATCAAAGGACATCACCATGCGCTCCTTCCATTCAGCGATCCTCGCCTTTGCTTTGTGGGCACGATGCTGCTCAGAGGCCTTTGAGAGTAAATCGACAAGGTGCTGACACTGGGAGACAGACGGGCAAGTGCCCGACGGAGCGCAGGCAAGCCATTCCTGCAGAAGTGACGGCTCCACCTGAATGCGCCTGGCGCGCTTGTACAATGCATCCCACCTGGCCGGTGACGTATGCACGCTGGTAGCACCGACGCCAGAAATCTTCTGCAGTCTCGCAAGCCGGTCACGAAAGTCACGGATTTGATTGGCAAGGTTGTGCAGTGCTCGGGCCTTCTCATCCATTTGCAAACAGAATTCAGAGGTCTTGTTGGGGGTGGAACAGGCAGCAACAGGCACTTGCGCAAACTTCGGGGAGCAGCCCTTGTTACAAGTAGTAACCGCGGCGACAGTGTTGCCAGTAGAAGTTTGTGCACCGGACCGAAGCGTCCGTTCCAAAAACTCTGAAAGGAGAGTCCATGCTTCATCCATGCACATATGCGACTCATCAATTGCGAACGGCCCATGCGCCACGAGCTCACCAAGACACTCATGGAAACGGCGCTGGATTACAGTCCAGTGCACGTGAGCATCGGCATCAGTCAGGCGTGTGGCGACGCGGAACTGAGTCGGCCTGACCAGGACGCGGATGGGAGCCGAGTAAACACTAAGATCAAAGGTTGCAACGACGGGTCGGTGACGACCGATCCGGACTTCTTGGTCAACATAGCAGGACGTAAGGGCGGCAGCAGCCGCTGTATTGAGCAGAATCGCATCAATGCGGGTAGCGTGCTCATTCTGCTCAGACGTGGTTTGTAGCGCAGACCCTCGCAGCATTGCCTCATGCACAGCAGCATCAATCAACAGACCGTTGGCAATGGCCTCAGCAAGGGTTGGATCACGCGTTGGCTCAACATTGAAATCACCACAGATGGCAACGGGCGCAGCCCCAAAGGCTGCTGTCAGCGCAACAGCCTCTTGAAATAGAAGTTGATTTCGGCGTTGAGTCTCCTCAACCGAATGCCTTTCCGTGCAATGCGGGAATCCATAAACCGAGATCACGAAGAACCAACGACGTCCATCGCCAAATGGCAAGCAAGCAACCGTCATACGCTTAGGACAAGCAATGGGGGCAAGATCATGCCGTACAGGGTCCCACTGTCGAAGCCCCGGGGGCCCAATGACACCAACTCCTCCATATTGGCCATCCGTAATGGATGTGCGGTGGGGCTGTGGGGCGCCAAAGGCACATTGGAAGCCAGCAGCCTTGACCTCAGCACCCATACGAGTCTGTCCAATTTGTGTGAGCTTGGTTTCCTGAAGAGCAAGGGCATTGAAGTTACCGGCAAACGGCTGCAGATAGCTCCAATATTTATTGAGGGACGAGACATTGAAGGAGCAAATCGACAAGATGTTACCCTGCAAACTATGACAGAGGCGATTGCGCGCAAGACGGGAGATCGACCAGACGACCTCACAGGCAGGTGCACAAGATTGGCGGGGTTTATACAGGTGCGCAGCGGGGCTGCGGTGCATGAAGGGCCTCAGACCCAAATCATCATAAGCTGCAAAGTGGCAGCACGGGTAGGACCAATGCCCCAAAGTATTATCATGTGTCCAGGCAGGTGCGCTGACACAACGACCGCAGAGCAAAGAGGGAGCAATGAAAAGAGCCATACGAAGGCCANNATGAACAACTCCACTGGAAGGCATGAGCAGCCTGGTGCAATCAGGAAAGCACTGGTAGTGACGGGACCGAGCACTGGAAGTGTCCAGACAAGGCCAAGCAAGAGATCTGTACAACGAGATCAACTGACGAAGCAGAGTCAAGCATAATGGCTCAACTGAGGTAGTCATCAGAAGCGACAGAAAAAATGCAAACAATAGGCCCCAGTAAGAGCCAGCTCCACTCATGAAGAGATGAGCCGCATNNTCTGGTCGGCTTCGATGGCAACAGACACGGGCTGCTCGGACACTGCTTCCATCAGGGCGTTGGTATCCTGGGGGGTGACATCCTTGAAGCCGACAATAGAGCCCTTCGGCACGGCAACCGTGCAATTCGTCTCCATGCAGGTTCCCTGCTTGGCCTTGTACGGATAGCTGTCCTCCGTACAGACGTCGTACTTCTCCAAGTACTCAAAGGCCAGATCCATGGAGCCACCTTTGCATCCCATGTTGCCATTCTTTGCACAGTCCACAAGCTGCTGTTCGCTCAAAGACACAAGCTTGCCCGTGGCGATTTGCCACGCACCTTCCAAAGCCCCGGTCGTGGAGAAGGACCAGCATGAGCCACATTTTCCCTGATTCTTCGGATCAGTCACGGCGCCCTTGCTCACCCAGTCCACTGCAGAGGGCAATGCGGAGCCGCTGTACGGATCCCTGCCGAGGTACGGCAATCCTGACCACGGCCGGTTCTCTTCCTTCATGCCGAAGTGACTGGCAGCAAATTCCTCCGGCTCCATGTCCGCAAACTCGTTGATGCCCAACTTGAAAGACTTGTCGGCGGCGTTGTGTGCCTCGATGCGGGCGAAATTCTTGGCAAAGGTGGCGAAGCGAGCCGCCCTCTCGGCGGCCGTCGAGTAAGTCTTCTCAAATTTGGTGACAAACTCCTCGAACTCTTTTCCAATAGGAGACACGTTAGCTTGTGTGCCAGTCAAGAAGGCACCAGCAGCGACGATCCCAAAGCGCAAACCCTTCATCTTGGAAGCTGGAAGGAGTTCTGCGAGAGTTCAGAGTTTATCCTTTGAAGTATTCTTCAGCCGAGATAGCCGGTGGCACAATCCCTCGAAAGACTTCATAATTCTCTTCACCAACCCCATCCACACCGAGCCCACGAAAAACAGAAGAAGAGCCTCATAACTCAGTACAGCATGCAAAGCTTCGAATGCTCGCTCATCGTAGAAAACGCTATAAAGATCATGCAGACTTCCGTAGAGAGAGAGAGAGATAGCGAGAGAGAGAGAGAGCGAGAGAAGTGCTGCCCCAAACTGCCAAGCGGACAACCGGCACAACATGCAAGTTCGACAGTAGCGCAAATCCACAATGTTGCTCACAATAATTTAGAGCTGACTTGATTTTGCAGTGGTGATAGGACCAGGCCGTGGCTCTAAGTAAGTTGATGACCATGCATCAACGAAAAAAGGTGCCTTCCGTTGCGTGCTTACGCACGGCTAGATAGCGGAAGGTCGACTGCCGGGCCCTTGCGCAGGTCCTGCCGTAAACGTACCACTTTCGTGGGGGCTGGAATCTCTCGCGCTGTTCAAGAACCTCTACGACTCTACGTGGTCCCTTGAATCACATCCGGCCAGGCGGCTACAGCACTTCGCGAGGAGCCAGGGCGGCGGATGGCGATGCTGAGCGGCACCTGGCAGCCACGCAGAGGTTGCCCTCCTGCTGCTGCAATATCTGTTTAGGGTGTAGGGTTCAGGGTTTAGGGATTTTAGCTGCCTAAATCATGGGTTACTGGGTTTTATACCATATGGTTGGTAATGCAATCACTCCGACCGCGGCTCAGTCATTTTGGCTATGGATGGCGAATCCTTTCCGTTAGATTCGGCTGGAATGCCAGAAACAGCTGCAATGGTTTGCATGGCAATAGCCGCTGCAGCTGCATTGCCAGTCGAAGAAACATCATCCCCTGCTCTTTGCAGTAGGGCTCCAAATGCACAGCCCTCAAACTGGCGGGAGGTTGAACCCTTTGTGCAAGGGTGTAAAGGTGCCAAGGGTTTCACGCCACAGTTTTCCCTGGATGCGAAACCCAGCTTTTGGGGCCGGGCCCAGTAAACCTTCAGAAGCCGCTGAGACCCGGACCTCCAGCAAAAACAAAGCTCGAATTCAAGATAACACAAATTCACAAAAGGCCTGCTACAACTCTGCGCAGCTGGCCTCTGCAACGAAATTCTGCGAGTCTGCTGTTTCAGCAGCAGATATCAGCAACAAACCACTGCCACTGCTCTACCCTCGCATTTTCGGCCGACAGAGCTCAGGCTCACGGCATCGGGTAGGGGAAGCTTAAAATAGAGGAAGAAAGAGGGAACAGCATAAGGGCCAAGCCCCTTAAGAACCAACTCTGTCAGAACTTGCGTCTTTTCCAGCTCCGCTAAAACACCACAAGCTCAAACTGCATCCTCAGTCTGTTCGGGTGTCTCTCGCAAGTTGACATCATCGACGCAGCCTCTGCAAGGGGAGAAGGGGAAAAAATGCTTTCCAAAGTGAGCCCACCCTGACGAGCAAGAATACCACAACGAGTTGTAACAGCACCGATTTGATTCGCAAACATGTCGCCGACGGCGCCTTTACCACCAATCACAACATTTGCTACTTACTATTGGTAGCTACAGGTACACAACTCGAGACTTGGATGGAGTTCGGCATCGCGGCCTTTGCTGACTGCTGTGCACATGACGGAGGGCGCGGCGATAGAGCCCATGACCAGGAACACGAGGGAGAGCGTCCGCGGGTTAATCTTGTCGGAGCCCACGCAACCCTCCTCTGACGTAGCAGAATACCTTGTGATTCAGAGCCACGACATGCCCGTGTCCGTGTTCCCTGCACTGCGCTGCAGCTGAGTCACTCGTACCAGCCCCAAGCTATAGCGGCCACGAAGGCCAAGCCGGTGAAGGCTTGCAATCTCAGGCCCATTTTGAAGACGCTCCTGCCACAGTTCACGCAGCTCGTAGTCAAGATACAAGAATTTCCTGCATGTCAGGGGGCTCCGACTCCACATGGTCTCTGATACCAATGCACAATCGCTGGAGGTACTGCTTGCCTCTGCAAGCTCCGTGTTACCCGAAGCACATCTCAGGTTTGGCATGGAACTTTGCCATCCACTACGAGTATCGTCCTGTTCCCAACGCAGGCCAGGCAGCTGACCAGAAGTTGCACCAAGATGCCGCAGCACCTGTTTCACGGGTCTCAGAGAATGCGAAAACAGGCCCCCCGCCTTGCTGCAGCCACAGCCTGCGACCTAACATCGGCTTGCCCGCAACAAACCCCCCTCCACGGGCACTCATATGCGATACTTCAGCTGAAAGTCGCTGCAATGCAGGAAAACCCCGTGTCTTGAAGCTGGGCACATGGGGACCAGGGGATAGGTCTTCATCCACATCGTGAAGCGATCCTGACTGTGTCCGGCAGTCGAGAAACGCAGGGTACAATCAAGAATTGCTACAGCAAAGAGCTATGTCAAGCACAAGCTTGGATAGTCGCAGCCAGCCATGACAGACCAGGTCGTGCAATTACCAGCCTGTCGCCTGGAAAGCGCTAAATCTACAGATGTAGCTCGAGGCTCGTAATTCTCGCAGCTTTGAAGGACATTGGCCGCACCAAGGAAGAAGAGCAAAGGTATCCAAAAGCAGCAGCAACCGTTTGTGCAGAACATCGCCGCCAACACAAAGGGTGCACCTCAGAACGGGGCACGAATTAAATCAAGACAACACGGATCATTGCTCTTAGACCGATATGCAAAACCCGGTAAGAGCACCACAGAAACTCCCCGGTGTGTAACACCACGGCTGTCCCAAACCTCTCCCCTGCACTGGAGGCGCCCCACTTTTTTTATCGAGCACAAGAAGCCCTCACGGCAAATCTCGGCATCCGAGAGTCCCTGCTTCTGCTCCTCGATCAGCTGCTGAGTGGGGATGCGGACAATGCCTGTACTTGTAGCGCCGACATCGTCTGCCATGGCAGGCGGGCGGTGCAGAGCGACACTCTGTCAGTCTTCGATACTGGAATAGCACCACCGCTTCGTGACGAGTGGTGTGGCTGGCGACCATACCGGAAGGATGCAGTTTATTGCTCTGCTCATTGTCCTGTCATCCTTTGCAAGAAGCTTCGGAATGCAACCATGGATCCCATCCTGTTTCTCATGAAGTCTTGGATGCCCTATATGTCTGGGCTGAAACCTTCGGACTCAAAGCATGTGAGAAAAAACCCTTCAAGTGTGGTCTTCTGGCTCTCTCCACAGTTCAACTTTCCTGGCCTCTGAGAATTTTATGAATCATTCGATGTCTTCGCGCTAGCATGACGAAACCTTCCAGGACGCGAGCTCCGAGCACTCAGTGCGATATACTAGTATGAGCAGGGTTACAACACTGTCACAACGGTTAATTTTCTTTCGTGTGCTGCTAAGGATGAGTTGCGCTAAGGGTGCTGTGCTAAGGTTGCGAACATCTCGCGAACGAGGACGATTGCAGCAGTGCCAAGAAGTCTCGTACTCTCATATCTGCCACTAAGGATAAGTCCAACCCAAACCATTTCATGATAACTGGCAACAAATCACGGCCGTGATCATCAGCTGTGTCAATATGTAAACACCTTAACCCTACACCCGACCACACGAGCAGCCGATCAGCCGATCGGCTGATCGGCTGATGATGCGCAGTTTGGAAACCGACTTTGCGAGCACAATGTGAGTTGTATTGCAGATACCCGGGTGGCAACTCGTGAAACGGCTCAGAGCGCCTGGAGCAGCCGGGCGAGCGTCACCAGGAGGTGGGCGAGGAAGCCGAGGGCCGTGTTGACATCACGCTCCTGGGATGCCACAAGTCATCCTTTGACCAAGAAATGCTCCGGCCTCCTTACGACTTTGGACATCGCTGTTGTGGATATCTCCTGCTTATGCGATCTGATTCATCCCAGGCACCGTCTCTGGCTGAGGATCTTGATGCTTCAGCCGGTCAGTGCTTGCAACGGAGAGGCCCCGGATCGTCCAGTATCTGCCACCTCGGGCATGTCTGGCACAAATGATTTCTTCTCTTCACAACTCGCCGAAATCCATTTCGCGAAGTTCTTCTTGTTTGGAGGGGGGGGGGCTTGCCCTGTGGTGACTGCGCACGCAAGCGATGGCTCGGACGGCCGTCGAGTGGCAATCATGCAGCGGATAGACCTGAGCAACAGCGCCAGTGCATTCGAGCCATGGCGGTCCGTAAGACATTTAGGACAGCATTGACCCTGCAAACTTCTCACGCCTGGCGGACTTCGTGAAGCAGGCGGATCTGCTGGCAGCGCAGCCGGCGGCCGATCTGGCGGTGCTCCGAAGCCTCTCGGTGCGGCTCGTCACTACAGGCCGACACAAGCAGCTAAAGCGAAATCTCTGAGCCTCAATGATCGCATCTAACTTGCCACATTCTCTGGCATAAAGAACATTCAGGCCTTGCCCTCTTCGCTCGCTGCAAAGTGCTCCAAGGAGCTATGCACCTGCGCCTTGAATGCGGGGGTTTGGAAATGTCGAAAAGCTGCACATGCACAGCTCATGATGCAAAGCTGCTTCGTAAGACCTGGCCCTTTGACCGTTTGAAACTCAGACGAATAAATTAAAGGAGCTCGGGGTCCTCTCTAGACTCTAGACTGTAAACTTGCACCAAAGCACCTCGGCACTTCGCAGAAGTGGCCGGCCAAGCAGAAGAGCCGTGGGCCGATAAGCCGCCACTCGGGAGGGCCCTTCCAAAGCCTCCCAGGTCTGACGGGCTGAGGATCAGTCAAGGGAAAGTTGCAGGCTGCTTCAAGACCGAGCCCGACAAACACCCAGGCGACAGGATGCGGCTGAGAGTTAACGGAAACAACTGAAAATACTGCTTAGTATTGAGCACTGGCGGCTTCCAGTCACACCTGCACATGTCCATACACCCAAAGCTTCACTGGCGGCGGTGTGCAAGATGAAGGGGAAAAAGGGTTGGGGCCCGCCGCTGCGACAGCATGCTGCAGAATCTTGCAGAATCATGACGACGAGAACGCGCGGGGTGTCACTTCATGTCTGGTGGCATGGTTGAATACCAACTGGGGGCCACTCGAGAGGCAAACAGTGATAGTGCCGAAGTACGATGGCCGCACGCCTTCCCCGCCTGTTCCGCCCTTCAGCATTTGGCACACAATACTGCCCATGCCGTTTCACTCAATTTCTGTCTGACGTTACACAATTGCTTTCCAGCGGCGCGTTCCTGCTCACTCTAGCTATGAGAGCCCTTGCCTGCGAAGCAGCAGAGCGGCGCCACCAGCGTAGCCTGACAGGGTCCCGCGGCCCCAAACGGGAACAGCACATCCGAGTCTGACGTGCAGTAGCCGAACCTGCCTCGCGTCCGTATCATCGCCCTCCCCAGCCACTTCGGCCCTCAGCAGCTCCAAACCTTCCGGCAGCAACCATCATGGCAAAAGGCGGGTCCCAGCTAAAGCAAAGTTGAACTGAAAACTGCAAGCCATTCCATGGATTCCCGCTGCTTTCGCAATGTTAGTACCATCTATGTTCGTATACTGGCACGAAAAACCCCGCCTTGTCTCCTGCGCTCCACAGTCGCCCGAAGCTCGGCCAGACGTCTGAGAATGGCTTAGTTTAGATTGCAAAGGACGTGGGCTTTCAGGATTGGTACTCTCACGAATCGAGTCTCGAGTGCTGTCTTGAGGGCTAGACTCTAGACCGGTACTTTCCCGACTGACAGATCATGAAAGAGTCCGCTGCCACACTCTAACACTCTCAAAGTCCTCGCCTTAGAAGCTGAACGACCCGGGCCTTTGGAGTGCTGCACGCTTCTCGCCCCGCGCATAGCCTCCGTAACGGGTCCAGCACCCAGTCTCCAAAGCCCAGAAGGCTCGATGCTCAGAGCACACGAAAAAAATCAAGCTCCTGCAAGAGAGGTTGCTCTAGTTCAAACCTTCCTCTTGTGTCGGTCTGCGATGCACCCCAAGTAGAAGTATGGCCGACAGCACCTGCCCGCCGCTTTTCAAGCAGACCCTGCAGCTGCTCCTCGCGCCAAGGACCATGAAACCATGAATGAACCCAGAGGCGGGCCGAAGGGTCGCAAGAGGAAATCGGCAAGCTCCTGAAGCTCTGCTGTCTGGTCGTTCCAGAAATGCAGCTGCCCGCCTTCGGCGCACAAAGTAGGAGCTCACACACTCCGAGGCACCTACAACAATGCAGCCAAGAGCGCAAAGCTCGGAGACCTTTGCTCCGGACTGACAGACCTCTGAAGTCTGAATCTGCCGGCTGGTGGCGTTCCTCAGCGTTTGCGGGCAGAGGGCGCGGCTTTGTCAACTGACCTAATATGGTACCCTAAATAGTAGGATCCTTATTATAAGGACCCCAAAATAAGGTACCCTAAAAGGACGTCCTGCTTTGCGCGCCTGCTCGGAAGCCTGCGACGCTCACCGGCCCAGCGCCTCGGAATTCGGAGGCTCGGTGCACTCCTATAATAATAATAATAATTAATGATATTAATAATAATAATAATAATTAATAAGAATAATAATTAATAATTAATAATAATAATCATAATAATAATAATAATATTGCGAAGCTATCCTACACTGCCCCGACGAGTCTCGATGGACTATGGCTATGGGTTGTTTGCTCTGTTCTGTACACATTTGAAGGTGGAATAAACAAGTCGCAGTGCTTCAAGGCCACCCAATGCCCGGCGTCAGCCAAACCTCTGGCAAGGCGGCCGTGTTCCTTGCAAAAGAGGACGCGGAGAGGAGAGAAAGAGTGCGGGGAGGTCACAGACTACTGACTACTGAAGCTCCAACAACAATTCTTGGCAGAATGGGTGGAATACTCTAACTAAGTGCCTAAGTCCAGCTTTACAGACTGCGCCTTCCATTTGGTTCGATGAATGAAACTTTAGAACCAAGCCGCCGCATCCGCAGCGCCAAGACGGGCTCAGCCACCAGGTCTAGATGCTCGAGGTCCTGTTGCACCGAGAACGATCACTGTGAACCGGCAACGATGGAAGGCGATTCGCAAATCAAGAACAAGAAATTTCCTCTCCGACCACGTCGGTCTGCCGAAGGTCCACTTCGGCACTCCACCGCACCTTGCATTGCTTTTCCTTCAACAAGTGATCGAGAGGCATCAGGACAGGCCGCTGCGCCTCCCGCGCGCCCCCTGCTGCGGCAACTCGCAACTCGAAGGCCTGGCAGATCGCTGTCGCTTACCCGAGCAAAGTTTCTCACTGCAAGTGCTTTAGGTCACGGGCTTGTGACTTGTGAGGATTCTGATGTGTGGCCATCCTTCATCGTGAGGCTGAGTGCAGGATTCCAGGATCTCTCCCTCGGTCTCATCTGGGACCCTGCAGTATTCCAGGCCAAAGAACAGCTGCTACGTTACAACCCCCCAACAGGTGCAACCGGCATCCCGGCACATGTCTTACGCCAGCTTTCTGCACCTCCACATATTGCCCGAATTCTGGGCCTCTATTGTAACTTACATGTCGGCGCTTCATGGCCCTTCGCACGATCTTATTCTTTCAAAGGGCCACCAACGTCAGAAGCATACCTTCATCGCGAAAACGGGCGGAAGCATGTAAACAACGGAGTGTCGCAATGCTTCCGCACACCTTATGTACACCCGAAGCGTGTCCTCACTTGACAGATGCGGTATGCGCCCTGATCTTCCGGCAGTGCGCAAGCAACACTTGGCAACATGGCCGTAACTATTCGTTCGTTTCGTGCAGCTGGCCAAAGAAATATGAGGCTTCCTCCATGGTAAAAACTGCTGTTCTCTCAACGCCACGCTTTCCACCTGCAGCTCAGCACCAGGACGAAGGCCGTCAGGTGGAGACCATGTGGGGTTCCTCCAAAATCTCACGTATTTTGCACCGGTGACCCCTTAAGAGGCTTCCTGATTCCTTCTGCTGGAGACAGACAGAGCGAGACATGTCATGACCAACAAAACAACGAGGACACCATCCCCCGGCCTGGTATGGAGCGCTTGGCTCTCGAGGAGCGGCGGAGTCCCCGGGCCAGAGGCCAGCTGCCTTTTCGCCGCGAATTCGGGGCTCCAAAACTTCCGGGCTTTTGGTTTCGAACTTGCAATTTTACAGTAAGGGAGTCTGTGGCTCCGATGGTTTATATGGGTGTCGGCGCTCACACTCGGCCGCAGCGCAGGGCTGACGGGAACAGAAGATGCGACATCCCTATGCGCAATCTTCAGGAAACGGCTTCAGCGATCTATTCCACCCAAGAAATTGCATACCAAGGGTGTGCAAGTTCGGAATACAACTATGATGATGCTATGAATGGTGTGGCAAACATGTGTGGCCGCTAATAGCCAATAATTGCCGAAGCACAAGATGTAGCCATCATCCACCAGCTCGCTGGGAAGACTCCTCACGGACGGACCCCCCAATGCTCTAAGGCGGGAACTAGGCAAGCGGCAGGAGTAGCAACATCATCACCCCCCAGTAGCAGCCAAAAAATCTGCAAAGGTCCTCAGCGCAAACTCGGAGATGTGGCGCAACCGTCTCCCCGAGATCTCCTTCGCATGAGCTTGGTCTGGCTAAAGCCACTCCATGCCGGGTGACATGCCAGCTTGACAGCTCAAGTCTTACACTCCTTCGGCCCAGGAACATAGTGTCACAGATCAGAAACCCGACTCTGCCAGGGCTCGGTGCTGAAGGGAATGACGATCTCATCATTCTTCTCGGGCGGCTTGGGCTCCTCGGTCGGAATCTTCTCCTGCAGTTTCGCTGGGAGGCAGGGCACATGTTCTCCGTGGCTCGGCCCATGAGTGGCCTTTGCCGCAGGCCGCAGGACCCCCCAACCTTGGCTGCATGTCTACACCCCTTCGTCCATAAATTTCATCAGATCTCTATCTACTGAAAGGCAGCCAGTTGTCTTTGCAGCGTCTGCATGGCGGCCACGAAGAAGCCGCATTCGGTCAGTGCCACCGAGCCGGCATCGTGGAAAGCAGCATGTTTGTGGTCTAGGGCTCTGACTTCATGAGCGCTGAGGATTGGGTCATGAGATGTCATGAGGGTTAGTGCCTTCCGAACTGGCGATTGGTCGAGCCGATGATAGGACAGACGCGTTGCTGCTTCAGTCTTGAAGCAAGTAAGCAAGTCCCCTGTCTCGAGTTCCATCTAGCTGCTGACATCTGCCGGCTACCTGGCTACAAGAGGGTCTGCAATTGCACGCAGCCATGTCGGAAGCAGAAAATCGACGTCGCGCTTTCTAAGACGTGCGCACAGCTTGAAGTCAGCAAGAGGCAGCAGATGTTCAAGCACATGTGCAAAGCTGCATTGATGTCGTAGATTTGCCATGCTTCTCTCTCGTCGGTCATACCCTGTACCGAGCTCCCTGCCGGATGCGGCCTTGGTCTTGGCCCCCGCAAAACGACACCCCAAACCCGATGAAGCTTCAAGCCGTCAATGGCTAGATGTGGAACCCACCCAAACCAAAAAAAGAAATAGCAAGGTGTCTTAAGCGACCCCTCTGCAGATGGCAAATGCTGGCTTGCTCGATCATGCCTGCGGCTATTTGAACAGCTGGCCTTGGAGTTGCTGACTGATGACGTTGCAGGCCTTGGCCCGGCGAGCTCATGCGAAGATTGCTACACTGGACGGATGATTTCAGCTCATCTGGGAGCTTCGTGTTCTGAAGGCGAGAAGCATGCCAAAGATGTACCAAGGTTAAAGATGCAACAGCGCCAAACCGTCCGATCATGTATGTTGAGTCTTTCGTTGAGAAGAGCTGACCGGCCTCATGATGAACCTGCACCCTAGACATCATTATCAGACAGGTGTGACAGCTGTGCCCTCAATGACGCCAGGGGGTGATGGTATCAAATCCTGAGCCTGAAGGTTGGGCACCTGCAAGTATGCCTTTTCCGCGAGCGCAAGACACACATTGGCAGGGGCGTCTGCTCGACGGCGTGCCCCCTGAAGATCGTTGCAGATGCCTCACGCACTTCCCTATATATTTCCACTGCGTCTGAACCGACCAGTGGAAGAATGAACGAGGCCAGATACGCATCTGCAAGGTCACACGAGGAACGCTGGAGCAAACCTTCCCCAGCCGTGCATCGTGTTGGGCTTCTCTTTGGGACCAGTTTCTAGTGGCAATTGCAGACAAAAGAAAACCCCAACACTTTCTTGAACTGCCAGAGCCATGAGATCTGATCTCATGACGAGTATCAGCCAGGCCAAATGCACGGGGGCTGTCAAAATGGTCGCACGCACGTAACGTGCGTAGCGCAGATATGGAGGAGGCCCTGATCCGGCCGACATGCAAAGAGGACTAAATGACTTGGCAATCGGACGATCGAATGCCGAGGACATGTCACAGAAAGCGGTTTGAAGCATGCAACATGTTTCGTGGGCATCATGGGCTTTCACGGGAAGCAGGGCTTTCTGCAACAGGCCAGCCAAACTGATGAGGCCACTCTTTCCTCCTCAGTCGGCATATGGCAAGACGCCAACTGCCTCAAAGCGAAAAGTTGTAGTTAACCAGGAACACGATTCGAAACTTGATCCATAAGCTGTGGTCGAACTCTGTTCGGCCTTTACTATCTTTGCAGTGCAGACCCCAGCTCTATCGGCTTCGACCGCATGCCTGGAAGAGCTGCAACCTTTTCGGGAGGCGAATTCCTAGCCCGGTCGAGAAGCGGCGCTACATCACCCAAATGACGAGCTGCAATCGACTTCGTACTTCAGCGGGCGACACAAAACTTGCTAGGGTGCCAGGAATGGCTCTACAAGGCATGGCCAGGAAGCTAGCTAGCTACTCAACATCTCAACTGATAGTGTACTGTCTGTGCTTATTCTGTTTTTCCGAGCTTCGGCCACATCAAACAGAGCCGCTATACATGGGAAAGTACGGAGGAAAATCGAGAACAACAGGGCCGTATGGTCACAGCCGAATCACATGAATACCTGCCTGGCACTGGGATGGACCCGCGAGGTCTTCCCCGTCATGAGCTGTGGGCGGCCATTTTGTTCGGATTTGACTGCCCAGGAGCCGCTGGACAAACTGCTTGTGCCACTTGCACCACCGCTGCAGGTGCTGGTCGCGCTGGTCTTGCTGCTGCTTCCCTTCAGCTTTCTGTCGCCGTCAGGAATCCGCAAATGCTGCCACTGCGCGGGACCTCGCGACGGGCCTTTGGATTCGCCAGAAACAGAAACATTGCTGGAGTTCCAGGACACTCGGATCGGAGGCTCCTGCAAGTTGACTGCCTGAGCCAGTGTGGGGGCTGGCGGTGTTGAACGCAGTTCTGCTGGAGGCTGGGGGCACTTCTCCACCGGCACATGGGGGCTAAACCTGGGGAGCTGCACCATCACCTTGGTGCGCCTGGGCTTGCCGTGGGCAAGGCTGGACCAGAAGGCACAGATGAGTGCCACAGCTGCTGCAATAACAAGCAAAAGGCCTCCAATCAGAGCGATGACTGCCAAGCTCAGGTTCCCCTCTTCTTCAGGCGATGTCTCAGCTTGGAAAACCGGCGCATCTTGCTGTTTCATCACATAGCTGTCAACTGCAGGGGGTGCAACTCCTGGTCTTCCATCTCCCCCCAAAGGGCCGATGGGAATCTCGACCACCGGGTCGCCTGCCGGAGGTGGGCCTATGGTGGAACGCGCTGTGATTAAGATCCCGGAGGATTGGCCCGTCCCCGTCCCTCCAGGTGTGAAGCCAGCGTCGCCCTGGGTTTCTAGGAGGTCGCGCTGCTCCGGAGTTAGGCACGCGCACATGCACGAGGCCGTGGCATAGTACTGGCCTCCGTCGCAATGGAAAGCACAGGACCAGAAGAAGGCCTGCCCTCCTGTAATGTCGACGTATCCGGGCAGACACCGCGGAGCCACCGCCTCTTCTGAGTCTCTGACCGGAACCTGCTGAAGATAGGATTCAAGCGCTATCAGATTCCTGCAAACTAACCAATCACACCACAACTGCAGGCAACCAGAAAAAGTAGCCAATGAAGTCAATAAACAGTCCAGTCCGACAAAACTAAGACACACATAGGCAACAAGAACCAACGGAGAGAGACAGAAAGAGAGAGAGAGAGATAGAGACGAACAGAGACGGGCTCGAGCACTCAAACAAGCACAGCAGCAGTGAGTACTGCGGTTCGTTCCAACTTGATTGCCATGTGGAGCCACCGAAACGAAAGCAACAGCCATGCTCACGGCAGCCAAGGCTCTCGGTCAGCGGATGTCTGCTGCAGCCTGGTTCGAGCATGGGCTGTGCTAAACTGCGCTGCTTCGAGGGGTGTGTTCGTTTTCGGGCAGCAGCCCGAGTGGAGATCATTTCATGTAAACCCATGCTTTGCTCAGGGCTCCCTGGTGGAAGAACTCGGAAGTTGCGGATGACTCCGACACGCAAACCGATAAAGCCAGTCTTTCACCAGGCTGCTCTCTCGTAGCACTTGCACCACGCAAGGATGCTGCGGAGCTCGTTGCCTGCGGAAGCGACTCTACCAGTCGAACCAGCTTGACTTGACAAGGGCTCACAACTCACAACCTGTAGATTGTTCAGTCGTGAATTCGAACCGCCGAAGCGCAGACCTCGGCCATGACTTCTGCGAGCATCGCAAGGATTGCAATGGCCACCGCCATCACGATGCAACCGAGCAGAGTCTGTCGCCCCTGGCCCTGTGAATCCAAACAAAAACCTGTCGAGCCAAGGTGGACAGGCACTAAGCCATTGAGCATGCGGTTCGCCATGACGAACATGCCCGAGCAACTCTTCGGCTCAATCACGGAAAGCTCCCGGAAGAAAGGCCCTGAAGCATCAAGGAACAGAAGAATGGCTTTCCAGCCCCGAGAACCCAGATGATGCGTGCTGAACTGAACGAGAGCCGCACGGAGGCTGCTGCACTTTCGGCTCGAACGGCCCTGAGCCAACACCGCTAAGCAAGCTTGGGCAGTTGCTTCTTCTTGACACATTGAGCTCGGCTCCGAAGATGGGCGAAGCCCGTTCCGTCGGAGACAAGCTTCGATCAAAGGAAACAACACAATCACGCTCAAATCACGTACTACTCTGCCTCTGTTGACATCATTGTGCCAAAGAATTCAATCCCCTCTACCGACCGCTTCTCCACACTCCACTTCGACACCAACAACACTGCTCACAGTAAGAGGGCGGCGTGCCGATGTGTGAAGGCTAGGCTTAGAGTACCATGTCTTGGCAACGGCCATCTCCAGTTGCAGCCAAGCGTCGTCGTGTGGGTGCTCGCCGTGGGGTGACGGCTTCTGACTGCGCTTCCTCGACACTCCGGTTTGTGGGCTCACTGTTCAGAGCTTCAACGTCTTCTTGAGTAGCGGCGCAGCATGTACCGAGACCAGCAGACGGGCCTTCCTGGACAGATCCTGTAAGAACGACTTCAGAAGTGCGAGGAAGAGTGCGTCAATACATGCGTGCTGTAGGTAATATGTATGCATGTATGTATGTATGTATGTATGTATGTATGTATGTATACACACACACATATTATACATGTATGAGGCACGAAGGTCACATTGCCGTCATCCTTTGTGTAAACATACGGACATTTAAGCAGCGACCTGGAGCGTGCTTCAGCAATGCCTTGAATATCCCCAAGCGACAAGACTGATATACTCCGTGCTGATGATCTCGCCATCAAACATCACCATGAACGACGAGAACACTAACCATGTTGGCATGCATCACACAGCAAAGCCTGCACGGCTTGCGAGGCAAGACTATTGCTGTTGAGCGTCATGGGCAGTGCACTGCCTGTGGTAAGAAACGCTGTACGCATGAAGTCAAGATCAATCCGACCCAAGCAAGCCCCAGTACGAGGTGTCAAGATTGAAATGGGGTGAACACGAGACGTACTTCATCATGGGGTGAAGCAAGGAGCGACCTAGTGCTCTGTGATTTGTGATTTATGCCAGGCTTGCTCTTTACATAGGCAATATAACATTGCTCCTCGGTTTTACGTACCGAGAAATTGGACTCTAGTTTAACGTCTGTGTCTTTGACCTCTGGAAAACTGAAGTTTGCACCACTTTGTTGAAAAAAAATTGATGCAATCTCAGCCCGACCATCATTCGACGCATAAGATCTGGCATGATGTGCTATAAGCTGCTGTAACGTCACGCCTATTGCCACATACTGCCACCCTGCCTGGCGTGATCGCGGTGTTCGAGGCGTGCTTGGTGCCGAGCGGGCCGGTGTGCGGGCTGCCGCCTGCGACAGTCGTGCTGCATTCCGCTTCTGTTGCATCTGGGTTTGTGCCGCATCTGATGCCCTGAGTGTGGATTAAGACCTCAACAAGTCTCAACAATAAAGGCCAGTCAGGGACAGCTTGAAATTAATTGCACACTTGCGTAGCTTGGTTCCACGCCTTGGGTGTCTGAGGCGTGCGTGGACTCTTCGCCGCTCGGGGTGTTCCCGGTGTTGTCGGCGTCCGTCCTTGGCTGCGAGGTCACGTGCATACGTCGATCTCTGCCGCCGCATGTTTGCAGTCAGCGTCCCGGGGCTCTGAGTTGCAGACGAGGTGTGCGTGGCTCCGAGCTAGATACCAGCGCCTGGCCATGCAGCCGTCCCAAACCCTGAGACTCCTTTCGCACTGCCCCTTCGCGCATGGCAATTTAAAGATCCACAGCCCCACCGCATTCTGTGCTCGAAGCTGCTCCACTTCCTGTCGCAGGAGCATGTTCCTCGGAACTACAACAAGCTCGATTGCTGCGCAAGCGCTCACGCTTGCATGCTACATGTCCATGGGGTGTCAACAATACTTCTATATTCTTCCTGTCGGAGCGGCAGGAGACTTCATCGCAGCATGCTCTGATTTGCAGCCGCGCCACTCCTGTTCTAAAGCCCTGGAGTGGAGGTTCGCCACAAGGCTGGCCTCTGGTCTGGCCGGGCTTTATGCTGGCGATGGGCAATGCATAATTCACATTGGTTCCCATGCTTTACTGAATGCCCGTCCACCTCGATTGGAAACAGAGACGACTCAGGCTAGCACCGGAGGCTCCCTGGCAGCTTTAACATCCCCAAGCTTCCTGGCAAACGGCTCATGGTGGCATCCTACCGAGATTGCCATATTGACGCGAAACAAAGACAGTCAATCTCAGAGGAGCTAAGAAGGAATAGGGGGTCCAGCATGCACCGCAGAACTCTCATTCACATCGTGATGTACGGTGGAGAACAAGACATCGAATTGCTGCGCCTGCCGAGCGAGGACGTCTCTGTGTTGGTAATGTCTGACAGCACCATGTTCGGGCCCTGACGTTGATGCCAACGACATCAAAGAAAGCCAATCAGCTAATTTTTCCTCCTACCTAGCAAGGACGAAGCCGCTAATTCACTAGTTAGTTCCGTGGGATATTGACGATATGGTTGGCTTCTGTCATGGCGTAGCATCGCATGGGACACTCTGCAATGCCAGCGTTGCTGCTTCTATTTTGACCATGCGCCGCATCCTCACGCACTTCACGCAAGAGCCCTGCTGGCACCGAAGACAGAAGTCCCGAGCTTCGATTCAGGTCTTGATTCAACGCAGCAAGACGGGACTTCTACTAAGGGAGCCAGCACAGGCCAGCAGCTTTGAACATTTTCCGTAATTACACGACGACGACAGTGCTGGTCCATGCACGACTGGATCGACGTGGCTCGTCGCACATCGTCATCGTGTCCCCTGCAAAGCCTGGATGGGCACTTCCCAAGAAGGTCTTGCATCTGCAAAGAACAACCAGGACCTGCCAATTGCTTTGCCTGGAGTTCCTCTTGTGTTGAGGCATGTTGAGCCTTGCGAACGGCTGCGTCTTGAAACTCGCAGGTCCCGACCCTACAACGAACCAGTGCAGCTGCACTGGACAGAAAACTTGGCACTTTGCAGCTTAACCCCTGCTGCAAGGCCAGCATACCAGAATGTGTCGTCGTGCGACCATGCGTGGCAGTTTTTTTGTTGCGACTTTTTGGCTTGTCGCCTGTCATAGGTGTATGATCTCTGCGTTTCCGGTGCTGCGGCCTGAATGGCTGTACCTGGCCGGCACACTAAGGAAGCCTTGGAGAGCTTCCGATGGGCCGTTGAAGAAACCGCCGGGGCAGCGCGCCACGGGATGCTTCGACTTCGGCGTGTCTTGCATGATCTTTCAGAAGGCTACAGTAGGTGCGAGGGCACCAAGCTAAGAGCATTCATGATCTGGAGATGTTATCATGCCAATTCAACTACGATGCCGAGCACGAGGCATCCCCAAATGCAGTTTACCCGCAATGCACGCTTTCAGTAGCCGGCTTGTGGCATGGCAGCGAGTGACTCATGAATGTCGGCCAACATCTGTTTCGCGTCTGACACAAGAGCCACAGGCTGGACCTCGTCCACTGAGTACCTCCGACAGTGGCATTACGAAGGTCGGTGCAAGCGGAATGGCTCGGCCTGACGCGCTCGTTCTCTTGCCAGATCTCCTTCTGGGCACGGAGTCGGAGCAAGCACTTCCTGCTCAGGGCTTCTACTTTGATCGAACAGATTTTTCTACCGTTTTGAGTTGCACCATTTAGCTCATGAAACTGGAGATTTCCATGATCATCTTGCGCTCTGGTCCTCCACTCCATTCGACCATTGAGCTGCCGCAGTTGATCTGCAAGCTGGCCGCTGTTCATGCCTCCATCATAGACCTGCGCATAGTCCTCCATCACACCCCACAACCCCCCAAAAAAGTGTAGTTCGGGCTTCCTGCTGTAAACCTGCTGTCCTTGGCAGGACACTTCAGCAGCTTGTTGACGGCTTCATCATAGAGGTTAACCTGGAAAGGCTGGAAACACCCCGCGCTCATGGCATCCCGGAGCGCAGCCCCTCCCTCCTCGCACTTGTCCGTGTGATCCAGAACGGTCAGTCGGCAGAGATACCTCTGATCGAGCTTAGCTCAATCGCATGGCAGGTGGCACCGATTGCACGTGACACTGCAGCTCAGGTGCCTGAACTCTGGCTGCTGTGATTTGTGGCCAGAAGCGCACATCCACATGCCATCTCCATCCTGCGTGACCTTCTTGTTGCACGTCCTGTCCCAGGGCCATTTGTTCAACGCTACTTTCACTCGGAACCACTCGAGCTGCTCTCATGTTCACAATTCTTCGTTCCACCGGTTGCCGGCCTTGTGCTGGGCTGGCCCGCGGAAGTCGGAGGCTGTGAGGCTTCCGCCACGTGAGGGCATGCCGTGTAGTAAGGAGGCCGGTCCATCGGCAAGTTCGTCATCGTAGCTACGACCCAGTGCCGGTGGATGCCTTCGAAGAATGCATTGGACAGGGAACAAAGCATAGCTGCAGGAAGACCATCCCAGTGGAGCCGACAGGGCGACATGAAAGATGTGCCAAGCCACTCTTTGCTTCACCTGGTCCAGCCGGCTGCTGCCATTGCGTCGGCGGAGCACCCAGACCAATGTCCTCCTGTTCAGGGCTTTCCAGGTTACCACAAGAAACCCCTCCAGCGTCAAAAGGCACATCGGGAACGGCACAAAACCCGCCTGGCGCAGTTCTTCGATGGTTTGGCGTCTTCCTGCCGAGCTTCCCCAATTGGTCCGCGCCCTTGGGCCGAAGGGCTCGCAACACACACGGCGACTCTCTTCGACTCTCTCCGCAAAGGCTGGTTTACAAAGGACACGTGTACCTGACATCCTCGCCACAAACTTACTCTGTGTATGTGCACACCTCCAAATTAAGGCGAGACCTTCATGTTAAAGATTGTCTAGCACCTGTTGTCTGTTGATAGGTTCCATGACTTCAGATCCAATGCAGGCACGAGGCGCCTGGCTTTCAAAATTTGAGTGCTCAGACCGCAGAAGCAGACTCATGGCACAGGCTCCACATGCCCGTCCCGACTACCTACCCGGATGAAGCGCTTAACAAGCGAGACGGTCGGCTGAAGGGTCGGAAAGCCAAGGGACTGGAAGGCCTGAGGGTTCGCCTGCTGCAGCTGCTGGTAGCTGCGAATCAAAGCAAAGGCCTGTGGGTGGTCCGGACCTCAGGGCAAAAGTCTTGCAAGAAGCTCTCCATTTCTGAGAAGAGGCGCTCTGCTCCATGTGCCAAGTATTTATAGGCGTAGATCCGAGCGGCTGTGCTGCATGCCAGCAGGGCTGCTGAGACTCTTCTGGCCGTTGAACTCCGTGACTCGAGCTTTCTTCAAGAAGATCACCTGTCACAGGCATGGAACTCCTAGTCCTAGTCACTGTCGTGGAGCTCGGATAGAAAGGCCAAGCGCACAACTGCGTTCAAGTGCACAAGCCACTCGCAAGCCCGTAGACTTACAGGCGAAGGCCCCGAATCTCCGCAAGATTCCAGCCCCCCCACCCCTCCCCAACCCTGCGGTTCCTGATGCATTTCGAACTCCGAGCTGAGAGCTGTGTCGCCCCAAAGCCTGACAAGCTTTCAATACCAGTGCCAGAATGGGAGAAGAAGCACAAGGAGACTCAACGTATGAATGCCAAACTCCAAGCCACGTAAGCTCGCAGGTGCTGCCAGACGCAGGGTCGCCCGAGGTGTCCCAGAGGTGGAGAACCTTCGAGTCGGCAAGTTCGTTAAGCAGATCATTGCAAGTACACATGGGGAAGAAATGGAAAGAATCAGCAGGGTCTGTTTGACCATGTCAGTCGCGACATGACGAGACACCCGCTTCGTCATCTCTTTGTTCGATGTCTTGGCCGTGAATGTAAAGGGCTCCTGCATGTGGAAGATCACCTTGGAGACCGATTGAAAGTCGCTGGAAATGTATCAGGTGCCGATTACTCGACTCTGATTTAGGCTCATGGTTGCTGCGAGCCACTGCTTTGACGTCGATGTGCGTTTCGGGCTGCAGGGTTTCCACGCTGGCGAGGTCCCGGAAGTCATAGCCTGCAGCATTGCGACTGCGCCGTGGCATGCTGGGAAGCAGTCCTACGGTCCTACACCATGGCAGCCCACCGAAGCCCCGCATGTAAAGACTTGGAGCTGATCTTCGGGATGTCGTCGTCCTCGCCTGCTAACTCGATGAGGGCATGCCTCAGCGCGGCGAAACAAACTGCACAAAGAGCGCCTCTGGCATCTTTGTAGTCTCAGTTCCAAGGGGCTCTTCGAAAACCAGGACGTGGTCGCCCCGGTCGTAGCCTCGTCTCCGCAGTCCGCGCACATGGCACAACGCATCGCGTTACCTGGTTTTCTGCTGAGTCGCGCTTGTTTGCCGGCTTTATCTGGCCCTTCTGGAACGTATACACCTGTCTTCGGAAGCAGTGGGTCGAGCGCGACACGTAGAACTCTCCTCGAAAGAAAACTCCAAAGGACTGGCAACAGGCTGGGAAGCCTTCTCAGGTTTCAGCAGTGAGTAGTACTTGTCCACGGCACGGCCAAAAAACGTTGCCGAGATCTCGCCGGTCTTGTCTCCGAGGTCCACCTGCTAATGCAAGGGTTGGCCGCTTTGTCTTTTGGCTGTCGCATATATATATATATATATATATAGATATATATATAGACATCGACGCCCCGATGTACCACTGCTTTGGGACCCTGTGCTGTGGCAGGGCAGGCCCTGAGCAGCTGGTGCACTCCCTTACCAGGCCCGGCCCCCCAATCGCTCACCGGCAACGTGGCATAGGAAAGACGGTCTAATTACCCACGCATGTGCAGGGTGGGCTCACACAAAGCAGCCTGAGAAAGAATCGCCACTATAAACTGGGATACGAGACTGCCACGCCTTGAAAAGCTGGCCCTCTCCACGCTGATTGTTGAATTTCCGCACGTCACCTTTCGTGAGAACCCGCGCCTGGCGCCGGGTCAAACAGCGGACTGCTGACGGTGCAGGTTACGATGAAGTTTCTTCCAGACGTAAACACCGCCACGATCATCGTGCCCTGTCTAGTCCTGTCTAGTCCAAGGGTCCTTGATCTTCCATCGGCCACCGGTGTAGGCATTCAGAGCACCTTGCAGCTTTTCTTGCTGCAGGCATTGCTTCTCGCCATGCTTTGCTCTCTTGCCAGCATAAGCACTCTAAGCTCCACGCCTGTGCGCCTGCACATCCCTACTTAGTAGGCTGATGATGCTGATGGAGAACTTCACCCGGGACAGGAGCAAGAGAAGGATACACTACGAACTGGAGCATACCATGCTTCATTATACTACACTGCGGTTATCGTTTGGGCGAGCCCTGCTAACTGTTCTGGGTGCTGATGCTGTGACGGTACGTTATACGTAAGCTGGCCGCATTCATTATGTACATCATCTAGCCGCTGCAAGTGTTCGAAGCCGAGAAGGTCAAGAGATCCGGTAAAACCCGATTGGGCATCAGCCAGTCTTGAAAGAAGCCTGTTCGTGCTTCCATGCTTGCTGCGGCACTGACGGGCGTGACAGCACCCACGGAAGACACCGGAGCGAGGCTGGTGCTGAGGTTTCGAGCCTCGAAGTGCCAACAAGTCGGTGGTACTGGGGAGGGCTCCACATTGTACTGGACAGACGCTTGAAGCAGCATACTGTACGTGCATCTAGCCATCCGGGCATCATTGCATGGATATTAGGTACTAGATATGGCATACTTCCACGTGAGCACATCAACGGATTCTGGAAGCCTTACACTGCTCTGCTGCTGGTAACCAGGAGTTGTGATGACGCTTACTTGTTGGCACACCTTCCCTTCCACAGGACGAATGTTCACGCTTGGAGACACCATGACATCTAGGACCTAGGATTCTTAGTTGCTGGTCGCAAAGCCTCTGTATGTTCAGACGGCCTTTTCAGTTCCATCTCGGAATGGTGGTGTCTGCATTCTGACAAGGCACCGTCTCAGCCGGGCGAGGGGCAGATGCAGTGCTTTGATTCGCATAGGGGTTGGTGCTGCCACCATAAGGCCCACCTGACGCTGCGATCTTGTCGGCAGTGCAGCGATTCACGAAGCTTTGGGGACTCATCTGTAGCTCTCAGCTGTTCGCAGCACTCAAAATTTGTACTGACACGTCGCGGCACGGCTATGAAGACTTTCAGGGGCAGGGGCAGCACTGCTCCTATGACTCACTGGTCACTGGCCTGGCGGCATGGCATAGGGATTGGCTGGTGGCCCGGCAGGTGCCTCCACATAACCTGCACGCTCCAAAGGATATTCGCGAGGCATCGCAAAGGCCAAAAACACAACCCCAAAGCTTCCCTAGGCCAACTTCTCTCCACCCCAAGCCCCGGCAGCCTCGCCTGGTTGTGTAGGGGCGTCTGCAACACCACAGTTGCCTCCTTCCACCTGTCCAAAAGTCGCCATTCTGCCTGGCGCATCTAAAATCCCGGACTATGTGGACACAGTCGGATTGGGTTCCGAGAGGTTTGTCGTGACAAGTGCTTTGAGGCGCGTTTAGTTCGGCATGGTTCCATTCGGGTAGCTTGGCTCGGTTTCCCGTGGCATAACTTTGCAATTTGTTGTTGGCGTGGGTTCGGCTCACGACATCAACTTAGGCTGGGACTGTAAGGCTCGAGCTGGACTCTCTTTGCTTCAGAAACGGGTTTCATGATGATGTCAAACCAGGCATTTGCAAGGCTGGCGCTAAATGGCCGAGTGCTGGAAGATCTGGATCACTCTACGACACCGGATGGCTAATTTTGTGTAACGCCACCTTCGGTTGGATTGAGTTACGTTCACAGCTGCTAAACTCATGACGGTTCGGTGACCATTTTGGTCGGTAATTCGTCTTCCCTTCGATTTGTGCTGTTTTACCGAATGCAAAGCAAGGCGGATCCTGTCGAAATAAACAAGCAAAGTTCATAATCTTCGTCGAGATTGGTGGACACTGTTCTGCCCCGACCGTAAAACTTCAACCTATGACGGCTTGACAAAGTTTAAAGATGTGGTGAAGTCTATCGGTTCACCCGACTATTAGCTTTGTTGAACAAGCAGTGGCCCAGGACCTTCTACCGAAATTCTGGACGTGCAGCCGCAAAAAAGTATGCCAGGATCTCTGCTGAGCGCCATAGGTGGGTTCGGTGTCGTCTCTGGCACCGGGGTAATCCGGCGCTCCGGCGTGAGGTAAGCGCCTGAACTGGCACCTTGGCTTGCTCTCTCGACATGCTTCACAGGTCTTGGTGGGGGGACCGCCGGACATGTGAAGAACATGATTCTCCGTGACCTACAAAGCGGCAAAGAGCGTGGCATCGAAGTCAGCTGCGTCCCAGGCAAACACTGGATGACGCGATGGACGATGAGTTGGCGAAGCAGTGGTGATGATTCTTGCTGCCGTAATTTAAAACATTCATGGTATTCGCAGCAAGTGTTGTTATGGCTATGCGATTGGGCCCTCTGAGATGTTGACCGTTGGCAAATCTGGCAGAGTGCTCTTCGTGCAAGGCCTGCAACACATTTTGCTGCTGCCTCTTGCATGTGCCTTCCAAAACCGATCTGGTCCTACAAACAGATCGTGTTGGGCCTGCGTTGACGGTATGTTCTCGGCCGTGACATCCTCGCCAGCTTTGGCTTGCAGTCAGGTCTTTCGGGCAGGAGGGACGGGCACTTTGTTGGTCAGCCATTCTGGCTGTGTGAGTGCAAACCACTCGAAAAAGGCTGAGGAGTTTGACTTGGAGTTGTCTCCTCTCTGGTCAGTCTGGTAAGCTGGTGTTCGTCCACGTAGTCTTGCGGCCCTGCGCGCCCCACCGTCGCGAACTGAGCTCAGGGACGGTGCGCAGCAACATACGAATACTGCTTTCGCTAAGTAACCATAGTAAGCAAAGAATGGCACAAGATCAACGGCAGTTCCGGCCGCCCTCACATGTACTGAGAATGGCCACAAGTGGCGGCCTCCAACACCACCAGGATTTGCGAGTTGTTCTCGGTGGTTTTGAAGCCATACTTGTCCAGTCGCAGCCTGGTCATACCGCGCAGGCAAGATCGCAAGCCCGAACTCGCTGAGACCCCGAACTGACATATAAAAAAACGGCCCACAAAGTACAAAGTTCAGGTCAAGCCGCAGGAGGCCGATGACGTTGCCTCCTCCAGCCTCCTCCAGCCTCCTCGCCATCTCACTGACAACGACAGACTTCACCACGTGCCTGAGGATCCGGAGCTGCCACCAGCGCGAAGCCTAGTTCGCTGCAGTTCCTACTGAACAGCGCCGAGATGCACTCCATCGCACAGTGTTAGACTCCAACGCTTCTGGTCGTTGCCGATCTGCAGGCGGATCGACTTGAGTCTCTCAATCGGGCACTTGGTGGTGCCGTTTGGGGCCTCTGAACTTTCCTCACTGACGGCTATTTTGCAGAACATGACTGACACTTCTTGAGCGCATTCCGTCACGCTCAACTCTAGGGCCCTTGTGCGGTGACCCAAGGATGTGGCAGTCCGAACCGGAATTCCTCCTTTGAGCGACAACTGAGAAGCCCTCCACACTGGCATTGGCAAGATCTGAATGCAACCACTTATGCGGAAACAAACCCTCAACCCCTGCTGGGTGGGGGCTTGCACGGCTTGCCAAAGACACCAGTTCACGCTGAACTCAACCTCCGAAACATCGCTCCCTTTGTGGTTTGTAGGCAAACCGGGGCCATCTCAGACCCGGAACGATGACAGCTTCAGTTCTCCGGAAGCTTGGCCCAGGGCCCAGACCTGCCTTCGCAGAAGCTTTGACTATCAGCACGGGCTTTATGCCTGAACTGGCAAGCAAGAAGAATCGCTCGGGATCGCAGCTGAGACCTCCCTTGCACACCACTCAGGAGCGCACTTTTGTCCAAAGTCTCTTGCAACATCTGGGACAGGCAGCCCCTCGTGTAAGTCGCGCGGCCAGGACCATCCATGCCGTACATCTGGGGCCCTGCAGGGCCCGGCCCCAAGCCTGTCTAACTAGGCGTAAGATCCTTGAGCACAGCTTTGAAGCGGCGGTGGTTGCCAACAGGGAAGCTACAAAATCTTGTGAGAGCTGGCAGGTCCCAAATGCAGGGCATGCAGCAAGTGAGGGGCCGCCGGGCCTTGTCCTTTCAGTGCTTGCGGCCCACCAAAGCTACGCCGCTCCACCGAAGATCCGAGAAAGGCCCACGCAAGGCGGTCTTCCAAAGCTAGCGAATCCCACAGAAGGATGCCGTGGCGGGGAAGACAGCCAAGAGCGACTATAGAAGCCTAGCGGTAGATAGCGTGAGCGAGAACCGTTGCACTGGAGAAAAAACAGCTTCACTAAGGCTGTCCTCTGCATTGGCAGAGCTCCAGAAGCCAGCCAACTCTCAAGCGCACAGCTTCTGACTGAGATGACTGCCCATCGCTCCGCACTCCCTCAGCGATAATGCTTCGGGGCCTGCCCGAATGGCTGCAAGTCATGCCTTCGAATTTCCTGGCCTACCCTCTGTCTGTGGTCTACATTTCTTGAATCAAGTTGCCGTTTTATCACGCCACACCTGGATTGGAAATCAAGTAGAGTCGCGCAATGCTTGTCGGGCATCACGACACCCGGAAATTGCCGCGCTTCGGCACCGAGCTCCCAGCGCTCTGCACGGCATGCCAGCATGGCCTCGAAGTCCGCACTGGAAGGAAAAGTTCAAGTCGCACGACAGACCCAGGATTGAACAACAATACCCGTTGAGGTGTCTGCCGGGCTTGGCTACTAAGTCTGCTACAGGCTTACAGATGCTTTTGGTATCTCAATCCTGCTAGAGCAAGCTAAGCATCTAGATGCCAGCCTTGGGATATGCTGCTTTGGGGTCTGAGTGGTGGATTGCCACGCCATCGGGTCCGACAACCGAGCAGCGCGTTGGGCTGAAGCTCAAATAAGTCTGTTGTGGCAAGTGTGTTCTCCCAAGGTCTCCTGCTCTCTGCTGCCCCGTGGCTATGTGGTTGCAGGCAGTGAAGTTCTTCCTTAAAGCACTCCTTTTTGCAGGCACCACCATTGTAGCCACCCCAGCGAACTCCAATGGATCCGGGAGCATTTTGGAATCTTGGCATTGGGAACCCGAGCACTCTTTCAAACAACCTAATCCTGTGCCGTCTCTGCCACCGGATCCACAGTGTCGGATGTTCGTATGTACAAGCGGAGCGATGGACGATTCTGCGGTTGTATACGCCCGAATGGCACTGGTGAAGTCCTGATATGCACATCATATTGGAACACATCCGGTGTGAACGGTGTTCTCGTTGGGGTGCCTTCTCAAACATAAAACCAAGGTTTCAAACAAGGATCGACAAATACTAGCACTCCTCACTACACTACTCGACAAGTCTACCATACTTTCGCTGAAAGCTTGGCAGACGGCTCAACGCGATGGGGCCAAATCACAGACTGCCGTCGCGGTGAGCCGCCTTCCGGCTTTGCGGCTTGCCTGTCTAAGCCCGAGCGCGCGCCACCTGACATTGGGGCCCAAATGAAAGGGGCCAGGGACATGTCGGTTCAGACGATGAGGCGAGGCACTCGGTATCAGGGGCTCGTAGGCTTCGATGGAGCTCCGGCCCCAGGCTCTTCCACCACCTCGAGTAGGCGGACATCACCCTTGTTGACGGACTACAGAAACCCTGATGCTGCACTGCCACAACCCATCCTCGAGGTCGTCGGCTTCGTCCCCGCCGCCTCCAAACATCCGCTGGAAGAAGCCCATCCTGATGTTGAGTGCTCATGACCGAGATGCTACCCGCCGCCCTGTCATCACGGTTCCCCATGCTGGCATCCGTGGCTCTGCTTCTGCGACTTGACGGCTTCTGCCTTCTCCTGGAAAATGGAAAGTGCCAAGCGGGACTTGTACCCTTACACCTGGCAGCCGTGAGCCAAGTTTGAGGCTCTCCTCCGGGGTTCGGTAGTGCGGCTTCGTCGAGTGGAAGCGGCCCCATGGCAAGCCATCTTTGGTCAGCGTCATCCTTATGAAAGGAGCGACTCAAAGAGAAGTCAAGCGGGTAGAAGAAGTACAAGGACTGCAGCGGCCCTCGGAACACTTACTATGGTTTCAAGCCACGGCACGGCGCATCCAGGGAGCTCCGATAAACCTCCCCAGCAAGCATGTCTCGTCGTGGGGTGCCAAGCCCGCGAGGGCGGACTGGCATGCCGGCGTGCACCTGACCAGGACGGGACAGGGCAGCGACATCAACGTCCTCCCCCTCACCCCGCACGTGGAATCCTGCCAAGCCACACAGTTACGTCAGAACCTGAAACTTGGTGCACAGGAGGCTTCAGCCATCCCTTGACCAGGGGCTGCCTTTCCCTGATACGCCTGCTGCGATCCCGCCGCGCTGCTAGCCTCAGTATCAGTAACGTAGGGAGATCACCGAGTGCCATCGAAGACCCAGCTGAAATCGCAAACGCCCTGAGGTCCTGCAAAGTGGCGCCTCATGCAGCAGATGGTCAACCCGTGGACCAACCCACAACCCTGCAGGCACACTGCCAAGGCACTGCCTTTGCTGACAGACGCAGCACGCTGTTGACGCCGGCTTCATGATGCAACGACAAGGTGAGTCGGAAAGTCTGACTGGTGTTGAACGACACCACGGGACATGCAGAACTAATGCAGGTTTCGATGACTGTAAAAAGGTAATCTCAAGTCTCCATGCAAGACAAAAATACCCGTCCAGCTTTGAAAAAGCCTCCGGAAAGATTCTGAAAGAACCTTGCCGAGTGAATGCCGAATGGCAGCGGCCGTTTCGTGGGCATCCCCGACTTCGTGGACCTTGCAGGTGAGCGCATAGTTGATTTTTCTCTCGCCCACAAAAGGAATCTGCAACATCTCGCCGGGCCTCGGGGACAACGGGCAGCGCCAGCTCCTCGGGCTCTGCCGGCTCCTGCACCTCACGGGCCTGCGTGGCCTGTGCCAGGGTTCGAGCTTATGCGGCAAGTGACAACCGGAGTGTTCGGATAGGTGATTGAGAGAAAGAACTATGGAGAAAATCCCGTAACTTAACAGCTCGGCTGACGTCCATCTGTCAAACCGCCATGCAACCTCGAAGAGCACAAGTTCCATGTGCGATGGTAGCTGGCAGCCCCTTGCATCTCGTCTCTGCCTGGCCTTGGTCGGCTCCTTCTTGATGAAGACGCTCATGAGGGCACCCTCCTTGGCAAACAGTCGGACCAATGCTGCTTACTCCCACCACGAACAACAAGCTCAAAAGCTGGAGCAGCGGAGCAGACATGTCCTCTGGTACAAGAAAGCTTTGGCCAAAGGTGGTCGTGCCGATGAACTACAAGCAATAATGGAGCCCAAGGCATGCGCAACAGACAAGGTTCAAGCGTGGCAACCGTACTCCTGCGACGGGCAAGCTGTCCGCCTGCGACTAAGTGCTCATATCTGATCAAGGCGCTGCCACGGGTGCAGCAGCTCGCCCCAGCTTCACCTCGATGTCCTTCAGCACAGGCGCTGTGAAAGAGATTCGGGAAGTCTGCAACCGGGGATGACAGGCCGGGAAATCGTCGCTCAGAAGAATAATTGAGCAAGCTTTCCTGTCTCACCCCCACAGCTCCACGCCGGCCTCGTCCTGCGAGTCGTCGGACTCCGCCGCAGCTGCTGCGTCCTTCTTGCCACCTGGCTGACTCTGACTCGAGGCGCTTGGCGGTGGCCGCCTCTTGAGGGCCTTATACAGTGCCCGCCTTCTGTGATGGCTCGGAGCCGCTGCTTCGCCAAGGTCGCCTTGGCCTGTTCCCTCATCCTGGGCTTGGCAGGGGCGAGAAGCGAACGCATCCTTGCGCTTTACGTGCCTTCGGCTACTTGGTGCTTGTGATGCTGCACTTGCAGACTGGAAGCTTCTCCTTTTTCAGCGCCTCCTTGTCCACGTCCAGTGCATCCCAGTCGAGCAGCTGCGCGTTGCTCGCTTGGCTGCGGGAAGTGTCTGGCCTGCACTGCCGCAACTCAAAGGTGATTGTGCTGGAGCTTCTGGGCCAAATCAAAGTAATCAAAGGCGACGAGGTGCGGGCCTTGATGAGCTGGGCTCTGAGCCGGGTCCGATCCACTTGTCCACCTGGTTTCCACGGCAGACTTCCAAGATTTCTCATGGCTTCGGGACACTGCACGGGGAAGGACCCCATCGGAAGTGAACGATCGACTTCGGCCTCGTTTTCTTCGTGTATTTCGGCGCCAACCTCTCGAGCATGCTCAGGAAAAACCACCCGACGAACGAATGATCCTACCACCCGGAGCCCGAAAGCCCCACGCAGGCAAGCAGGTCACTGAAGAGTCGTCGATCCACTCTGCACACAGGACAGCGCGCAGGGTCGCTGGCCTTGAGGCCAGCAGCCTTTCGCTGAGCGCGCTTTAGCAGCTCTGCGTCCATGGGCTGGCCCTCCTGTGGAGTTAACACAAAAGAAAAAAAGCTGGAATTGCCAGCGATTGACAAGCAGACAGAATCACCGCGTCTTCGCATCTCGTCCTTGGGACCTGCCATGGCCCCTCGGCGCTTGAGGCCGGCGCCCTCCCTGGCAATGTTTGGAGCCTCGTCCAGCCTCGAAGCGCAAAGCCGGGGACTATACCAAGACATCTTTCGCGGGCGTCTGACTGGAGGGTAGTGTGCGGTGTCTCGGCCAAGCTTCACTCAGTTAAGTCATGATCTCAAGGGTCTGTGGCAGGATTTTTAAAGGGGCGGCGGGCGTGCTGTCACGGAGCAGAGATTGGCCGGCGTCCTTGATGAGACATGCTACGGCCAAGACCAAGCAAAAGAAAAAAACAAAAGCCGCACCCGAAGCCCCAGAACTGTTGCCAAAACGCCCCCAAAAATGTAATTCTACCCGAAGCGGAAAACCCGCAAGACCGAGCCCCAAACTCCGCAAATCCTAAGGTCCTAAGCTCCTTCTTTGCTCAATTCCAACCACCAACGCAAAGGTTCGTTTGCACGATCGGTAAGCATATCCGTATACAGCATCATGTCCACATTGCACGCAAAGCATGCATGTCTGTGACATTCCATGACATGATTACTGACTGGACTTGTTATGTCTCCGTGCATGAGTGACAACCTGAATAATGCAGGAAAGGTGTGAATGTTTGACTCTGTTTGAACAGAGACCTCTCAACTGCTGCCATGTCTGCTCGGGAGGCATCCGCAACGCCGCATCGTCGAACTTGGCGTTCCGAGCCGCTTCCTGGGAAACGGGAGGGCTTACGGCAGGACTCCGCAGCTCAGTCCACGACAGGAGGAGCTCCTGGAGGGCAGCCAGGTCAAAAGCTTCTTCTGACGCCTTCCCACCGGCTTCACGAATCAAACCGATCAGGTGTGTTGGTACATGTTGGTATGCTCAGAGATAGGAAGAGTAGATCATGCAATCCATGCTTTTTTCACGCTGGGATTGGCTGCAACTCAGGGCCTTCACTCACACAGACTCTATCAGACATTCTTAGAAAGAAGCCGGCAGCTTTCTTCCGGACCTCATCATCCGGAGGCGGCGGAGGACCAGCCTCGTCCTGCTAGCGGAATAAACTACCGGTATGGACAGCACCCTTGACGACTACACTGCACAGCTCGCCTCATGTCAACAACTCCACTTACGTCATGACATGCGTTGCACAAGTGGGGCCCCTCAACACATGCTTTTTTTGACTGCCAGCCTCATTTTCCACAGCCTCCTCCTCGTCCTCATCTTCGGGTGCTGCCACGAGGTTTCCGTCGGCGTCCATGCCTCAAGCAACTCCCTGCTGGCGGCTCCAGGCTGCCACTGCACCAACGCTGCTTGCAGAACTCTTAGAGTCTCCGATATCTGCAGCCCGGCAGCTGGAAAAGCCTGGCATGGAGAAAGCCTCCAGTGCTTCCGGCTCGAAACCCAGCTCGAGGAGCACCTGACCGAAAATACAAACAGGCTCTGTCATCACGTGCACTGCTTTTTTCCAAACTCTCCCGAAGTCTTGCAACTTTCTAGTCACTCCAGAAACGGCGCGTGGCGTCGATTCCTTGAAGCCGTGACACCGACTCCGGGGCTCGCAGCGCCACGCCGTCCACGGCGATGGTCTTGGGCCGGTAGGCCTCAAGGAATGGTCTGAGTTGTTGCCACAAACCCGGCAATCGCCCAAGAGAGCTATAACGATTTGCACGTCAAGAGCCGAGAACCAACCTCCTTCATGCGACGATATCGCTCGTCGTCTGCTCTTTTCCTGGTGCAAAATTGAAGCAATTCTGCTACTTTCGGCATCCTGGAGCAGCGGCCAAACTTGCCTTTGCACTTGTTCTTCTTTCTTGACTTCCTTTTGCTCACCTGATCTTCTCGCAGACGGAGCCGTCGGAGCAACATACCCCCCAACAGCAGAATGTCAAGGGGGTGCCGGCCTGATTCGGCAGTTCTTTCCATCTTGGCTTGCTGCTTTCGCTTGCGATCCAGCTGTCGCTCGAGCATTCTCCTCAGGTGATTGTGATGGAAAGCTCTCCCCAAAGAAAGACATGGCCGTTGATAATATTTGATAATCCATGGACGGGGCTCTGCTCTTCGCTTTGCACCTTGTGTGACATGCCCCAATCGTCCGTCGCGGTCGCGTGCTCCTCGATGCAAGCACTTGACTTGGAAGCTCTCATACAACGATTCGGACTCCACTCTGTGCCCCCTCCTGGACTTGGCTTTCCAAGCTCTTCACCTAAGTCGCAAGTGCATCTTGCAAGACTCGACTACGCGCTGGGAGGAGCTGTGAACACGGCAATGACATAATGGCAAGGTGAGGGCGTGCCCAAGTTAGGATGGAAACTGATCACACACTCCTTGGAGCAACGTCAGCCCACCTCCCGCTTCATCTTCAAGATGCTGTCCAACTGCTTCATCTTCTTCGCATCCATGCCTCGACCCGGAACAATGCCAGCACAAGCAGAGAGGGCTGCACAAGCGCAAGCAGCAGAGCCCAACTGCCGTCCCGCTGCGCTCGGGCGCATTCATGCGGAAGATATTCAGCGTCCGAGGACTGGCCAGGATCGGACCTCGGACGTCCGGGCGGAAGATCCCGGAAGAGAACAAGGCCGAAGCCTTGTAGCTACTGCCACAGAGCACTGTTCCGCCAAGGGGCAGAGCACGCAGAGGCAGAGCAAACCACAAATGCCAACACCCAGACAGATGGATACCAGGGCCGGAAGGCTGATCCCGAACCGGTTCAGAAAGTCCTGCCACAGGGCTGACAACAGGTCGATGAGGAAAGTTGCTCCAGGGTTTACGCGCTTGCAACGCAAACCCCCACTCGAAGCTCGCAACAAGAACATCCCCATACACCAAGCACGAAGCCACGAGACCCCATCAAATACGTTAAGCAGCATCGCCGCAACCTTCACCGGCAAGAGTAGGTAAAGGTCAATCGTAATAATTAGGCGGGACCGGACTAGCGTATTGACTCGGGCCTTAAGGCTTTAAGGCTTGTCGTTGTGCGTTTGGTGTTTTGGGGCCCATGTTATCCACGCCCGGTCATCCAAGCACTCCGCGCGCAAGTGACTGCACAAGCCACAGCTGGGAGATTCGGCCCGGTGCAGGTGCACAGCAAACCCGACAAGTCTTGCCAAAGCTGCCCTGCAGGCCTCCTCGGCCTCCTGCTGCTGCTCTGGGGGCCTGAAAGGAGCTCTGAACAAACACTCCGTCAAGGCGCATCCGCAGTCTGCGGCAGAGCAACAAGGCCCCAATGCTAGAGGGCTGAACTCCAGGAACCTTCATGCTTCTTGCGAGGCTGGCCTGGCCTGGTGGTGGTCACGAGCCCCATGGCTTCCAGAGGAGGCTTGAAAACGAACGGCCGGCCGAAGTTATCAATCTCCCACCTGACGGTCAAGGACCATGCGAGTTTGAAACTAGCCCGCGCAAAAGCGCAGGATGCATGCACGACCATTCATCTTGCTTCGAGGGGCAGGGGCGGCTTGGGGATGTCTGCAAGCTTCTGCCATGTCTTGCCATCCCATATCCTGGGGACCACGTGCGAGTCACGAGAGAATCTACAGCGCTGCTGGGGTCTCACAACAGATCACCCGGCTGCAAGATGCCACAAAGTTCCATGGCTGTGCGTAGTCTGAGGGCCACTACCCTATCCTGTCTCAGCCTTTGGCTCGATGCCGCTATCAAACACCGAAACTTTCGCTAGATGCCACTACACTTACACGCATCACGGCTCTTTCTCTCCAAGCCGCTGCATGCGCAGTGTCGATGCCACCTGCCGATGGCTCTGACACTCCATGCTCCACGCTGGTAGCGTGGATCAGTGTGTGTGCGAGACCTCTTGAATTCGTGCCACATGGAACACAAAAATCTTGGAACAGCTGGTAAACGGCAGTTGGCTCGCCCGGACAGAACTCTAAGTCTATATAGTCTGGACCAACAAATGCCAGACCACCATCATTCGCCTGCCTTCGCCTGCAGTCGCCGCGAAACTGATGCTGGTGGCGTCTGGTAGAGCTGCATGCAGCGCACCTGCACATCTCTGTAGCAGTAAGCTTCCCATGTCTGGCCGCAAGCTTCGACATGCTTCGACCCTGGCGTTTGGGCAGACTTAGCCCATGCAGCTGCAAGCGAACACGTTTCTCTGCCTTCGCCATTCCAGTATGAGAAGGCATCTGTGTCAATAGAGAAGATGCGGCTGGCAGAACTCGGCGACACCCAGTCTCACCTACTTTCCTAGAAGGTTGCCACCGCGAGAGCCACTACTCGAATTTTCACACATTGCGCGCGTCAGGCTGAATCAGAACAAAAGCGTTTCACCACCTCAGAATTAAGCCAAGCTATTTCTGTTGGCAAAATGTCTTCCGCAGCCTGCCCTTCCTGGAGCTAAGTCGTCTCATGCAAAGGCTGCAATCAGCTCAGGCATAGTAGTTGAAGTTGCTCTTCTTCTTCGCTTGGACAGCGCCGATCCCAGCTACGTAGTCCTGGCCAGAAACATGACGTTGCCAGGAACAGGCACAGCAAGCTCTCTCCTCGTGACACAGCTCTGTGGCGCCACGGCGGAGTGCCTAGCGGAGGATTCAGCGAATTCTGTGAAGGTCGGTGCAACTTCCGCTGAACAGCCAGGGCTAACGACCGGCAATCACAATCTCTCTCTGCCTGCTTCTCCCTCTAACGCGGTGTTCTTAAACCCTATCGGCCGCTGGCGGTTGCACCCAGAGTGTGCCCATGTCTCTCCGCGCAACAAGCTCTCAAAGTCTTCTCTCGCCCTCGCAACTGATGAGGACATGATGTGCTGCATTTCTGGATGATGCCCCCCACGCCCGACCAAAAACAAACACCAAAAACATTCACAATCAGCGCAGGCCACTTGACCAATACTCTAATCCTCCAGGACTCCAGAAGTTTACGCACTATGGCGTTACAGTATTGCGATGCTACTCAACCAAAGGATGTGCACAGATCACCTCTCGCAAGATTCGACCACACAGGCCTCCATGCCTGCCTCGACGCACACTGCCTGCCGCGGGTCTTGCTTGTCTGAATGAAGCAGCACAAACATACATGCGACTCCATAGTTCCAGCTCGCATCCACACCTTGAGCTGGGCTCCATTGAAGTCGTCAGTGGAGCGGGCAAGCTCCACGAAGTTCACATCGTCTTTCCTCAGTACAAAGAACCGCTGTCTTGGCCGGAGCCTGGGGACTTGGTGAAGAGTTAGCCTGCTCAATGGCAGCACCCCATGTTTTTGTCGCGACGGGTGCAGCGCAAGTGGCTTGTAGTTCATCTTCCGGGAATGGATCTGCATGATGCGCGCACGGGAGTCCTTCCACCGCACGATCGGCAAAGCAAAAATGAACAAAGGAAGCACCGCCCTCTCCGCCACACGGCATCACCTCTCACGGCTATACACATGGCGTACACAAGGCATCCTCGTTGGGGTGCGGGAGCTCGATCTTTCGGTCCAGGCGTCCAGAGCGGAGCAGAGCGGGATCCTCCGCACGGCACGCGAATGAGAGCGCGACAACCGCGCAGGCAGCGTGCAGGCCACGCATGCACATCGCATGCGCAGCAATGCGCAGCACATTGCATTTCTTGGTGTGCTTTCTTGCGACGAGGAGGATGCGGCTGCAGCATTCCCGGTCCAGCGTATCTGGACGGTTCGTGGCTGCGATGATCTTCACGGTGGTCTGGTTGGTGAAGCCGTCCTGGCTGAGCTATCAAGAGTGAGAACTTCTGATGCTGCTCTAATGTCAGAATGTGCGAGTTGTGTCCAAGTGGCCAGCTGGTTCAGCAGCTCGAGCATGGTTCGCTGAACCTCGCGGACCCCGGAAAGCTCCCCTCCGCCGGAGCGCTTTTGGCCGATGGCGTCCAACTCGTCGATGAAGATAATAGCAGGTGCTTTCCTCAGAGGCAAAGATTTACAGAAACTCAGAGCCGTCTTGCAGAGCTGCTAGCACCTCATCCCGCCTCAGCACGAAAAGAAAATAACGACAGTACAAGCATCTCTTTTGCAAGGACGAAAGCATCACGAACGATCTTAGCACCATCGCCGATGAACATTTGCACCAGCTGGGGTCCTGTCCAAGGTCTCGCAGAGATGACAGACACCAGCAGTGAGAGACAGCAAGAAAAGCCTGACGACGTGCCTGCCAGCTTGAGGAAAGTGGCGTTCGTGGCAGCTGCGCAAGCTCGGGCCATCATGGTCTTGCCAGTACCCGGCGGCCCATGCATCAACACTCCCTTCGGGGGCTGGATGCCGATGTTCTCGAAGCGCTCCTGGCAGTGACGAGTACAGACACGAGAAGGCATGGCAGAAGCATTGCACCCGAGTTGGCAATGGACCCGGACGCGTGGAAGAAGCTAGCAGCTAGCTGAAGAGTCTTTTGAAGGGTCCTTGTGGGTCATGGGCAAGACGATTGCCTCCTGCAACCTCAGTGGATCTCAGTAGCATCAAGGCCGTGGAGGGCTTCGAGGCCAAGAGCGCGTGACAAAAACAGCATGATCCGATCTTCTTCCGGGATCTTCCGGGTGTGCCATATAAAAGCTCACCAAGCAACTCTTGAATCTGCTTCTCCAGACCGCCAATGTCGCTGTACTGGTCTGTGGGGCGCTCATCAACCTCCCACAGCAATGTATGAAGCGATCATAATCGAAGCTCACAAGTTCCGAAGAACCGAGGCTGGAAAGCCCTCACTGCTGCTGAGCACTGATACTGTTCCCGAAATCAGCTGTTCTCGGGGCGAGGCCTCCATCGCTTTGACGCGGGAGTCGTACTCTGGCGGCAGCTTGTCCAAGACCAGGTAGGAGTCCTTGTTCACACCCACCAGGTCATTCCTCGCGTGGAGATGATATCATGTGCCAGGGATGTGCGCAAGACAAGGTCTAAAACAAAGAATTAAAGGATAGCAGATCCCAGCGGCGGTTTCAGTTCTGACGCCTCCACCAAACCGATCACTGGCAGGAAGATCGTCTGCCTTGCGACGTGCGTGGGCTCTTCCCCTCAAAAGGCTGGACTAGTGGGCTTTCAAAAAGACTTACACTTGTAGCGAAGAGAGTAGAAGTGAGAGAAACTCTCTCTCAAGCCTGGTGGTCGTCTTGATGACCATGCTTTTGCCGTCCCGCTGGGTGTCGATGTCTTGCATGGCACCATCCTGCGTCGTGGAATTGCCCAAATTGCAGGCCGACCCTGCGGTTGGATGCGGCGCCTCGTCGTCTTCTTCTTTCTCCAACTCCAGGATCTCGGCCACGTTTGCAACCAGATGAGGCAACTGGCGGTTCAGCTTGATCTTCTCCTTCAGGCGCAGTTTCAATCTTTCTGATTCAATCCAAGCAGAAACCCAGCTCTGGATGCTTGCAGATGTGACCCCACCGGCCGCTCGGAGTCCTTGTTGTCCTTCGTCTTCTCTTCGATGGTTTTGATTTCGTGCGTGAGACGCTGCTGCTCACCTGCAGGTTCTCGGGCTGTTCTAAGCGGGCTCAGCACATACACGCCAAGAACAAAGCTAACTCTAAACTCTAAACCCTGAAGCGGAAGCACATAGGTTCTTAGGGCCCCCCCCCAATCCACCACGTCCTTATAGGCCGAGGCACTCTTCATGACACGGATGTCATTGTCTAGGAGTCGAATCCGCTGATTGATTTCCTGGGCCGGATGGGCATGTAAGAAATGAAGATACTGAATCAAGATAGCTCATACTGAGCCGGACCGATACACATGAAGCATTGGCACGCATCCTGACGAAGCTGAAAGCTTTCCTGGTTTTGTGCGGCCAGGCTCATCAACGCTGGACCTTTTCAGGTCAGCGGTAACGATGTCGTCCTGAGGTCTCTTCCAGGTGCACAGCCTCCCTTCAAAAGTTCAGTGAAGCCGAGCCCTCATTGAATCGTTGACCGAGACCACAACCCAATCCGTGGCCCCCCGGGGCGCTCCTCACCCCAAATGTCTGCGCTTTCCAGGCCGCCACCTGTCGCCGCTGGTGCAGTCGGGGCTGCCGCCGGTGTGGCGTCTGTCATGGGAACCTGGACTCGGTCCGCACACAGCAAGGCGGCAAAGGTTCGGCGGCATTTTTTGTCTAGAATTGTCCCTGTTGCGCGTCCGACTTCCAGCCGAGTAGCATCTCCGGACTCGGCCATGTCTCCCAAAATGCGAATTCAACCGGCGGGAGCGGTTGTCCGTCAAGGATCAAAGGTCACGAACACAGACAAGCAGTGCACTTACGAGTGAGGCAGTTGCTGGAAACCTCAGTAGACCCTATGTGCAATGACCGGATTCAGCCCATCAACCTAGTACGTTGCTACCTGCTGCTGTACCGTTGAGATCGTAAATCGCGGCATGGACTTCGCTTCAGACAACCACGCTCCAGCAGACTTCAGCAACTCCAACAAAAGCCCCGACTTGTGTCTCATCTGCTCAAGGCTTGAGATTCAGGGGCAGTCCGTGCTTGGAAGGCCTCAATCTGGTGGTCGAACTTGCAACCGATCCAAGCTTCCTCGGCCCTGTGGCGTGGAGGTGGGCCAACAACACCCACGAATGGAGAGGCGCTGAGTAGTCAGACATCGTGTGCTAAGAGATGTCGCGAAAAGCGATGCGGCAAGGCGGACATGGAAGTTGCATGCGTTGGACATGGCGGGATGAATCGAAACGGAGTCTCTGCAGTAGGCCTGCAGGGGCCACATTGCGAGATCCACCTCGAGGAGAAGTTCCTGTCGAAGGCACGGCCTGCGCTGACGTCGTTGTAGACCTCGGTACTCGGCCCGACTCGGCCCAGGACAGACGTGGAAGCAGAGCCCCGCGCCATGGCAGTCTCGTTGGGGTTCACCACTGCGCCCTCCTGGAGGAGGAGGAAATGGCCGCCTAAGTTGCGACATTCCGTGATATTCCGTGGACTTTCGAAAACTCGGGAACTTGCACCACGCCTTCAGACGCGCTTCTCCTCCAGTAACCCCATGCGTCGACTTCTAAGCCGAGTAGCTGGCGACCGGCAGGTCGCAGGGCAGCTCCGACAGGCAGTCGTCGTCGCGGAAAAGCCGCATCTCGTAGACGTGGATGCGGTCCTCCGGGGCAAGGTTAACTGGCGACAGCAAGAAAGCCCACAACACAATGGTGAAAAGACGCCACACCAGTCAGCAAACGAGAGCTGCAGGATACGAGCTCTGCTCACCCAGTACAAGCAAACGCTCGTGCATGATGTGTTGGATCCCGTCCGGCTCAGACTCGCCGTTGCTCAGGCGGAAGATACGGTTGGGCAGTGACATCACCTCGAATTGCGCCTTCCTAGGCAACGGGGCTCTGCGTCTCGCCACGCGATTGCTGAACTTCGAGGAAGCCAAAGCCAAGGATCGTCAGGGACCCGATGCGATCGACGTCCAATTCCTCGGCTGAGGCCAACTGGATAAGCTTGCGGTCGCTTGCGGCTTGCGTGACGGCGATCGTGGGGAACCACATGGCTCCAGCTGAGGAGCCGTAAAGAGCTTGGCCACATTTGCAGATCTCACTCCCAGAGGTGATGCCAGGCGGGTCAACTCCTCCAGCGTCACCAGGCCATTTCCTCGCAAACTTGCGAGCTGTCTCAGTCTGTATTGTCGTGGACAGGATCGAAGGCCAATCGCGTCAAGAAACCTATTCCTCAGCAGCTTTGGATGTAGTCCCTGCTCATCAGAAGTGATCATCGATCCAACCCCCTATAAATCCCTAGGACTTAGAGGGGCTGCCGAAGGGCCGTCACCCTCGCCATCAGCTTCGTCAAAGGCGGCAGCTAGGTCGCCCAATGCGGAGCCCAAGAGTTGACCTCGGCTATGACCCGGGCCGTCAGTCGTCAGCTTCGTGCTTGAATCTGTTCGAATCATCTCGACGTCTACGTCGGTGGAGGGCAACCCTATGTTTGGGCGACAGCACAATTCCAACAAAGCCGCGAGCTTTCCTGAGATACCACATCGCGTCTCCCGTGATTAGCTTCGAGACTGCTTAAAGAGGAAGCTTTGTAAAATTCCCTACCTGTGGTCTGTAGAATCTGTAGAAATATGCATGAGAGACGCCAAAGCTTCGAGCACCAACCTCGGCCGCCAGCAGCCTCAGAGGAAGGGGTGTGTCTGCGAAAGCTGGATCATCTCCATCCGAGCGGCATCTCAAAGTGCGAGGGTCGAAGAAAGCCTTCTTTCCTGGTGTCCTGACATGGCGGAACAGTCCAAGGCAAGAAACCAAGCGAAGGATGTCTGCTCCTCTGGCTTTTCGAGAACCACACGAGACTGCAACGCTCCCTCCGAAGGACATGCGCGGTCGCAGTCAGTCCAGGTCTGTGAAGATCTCGGGGATGAGGGAGGTGGGCAGTTGGAGTCGGGCTTCGCACCAGACATAGAACTCCTGGAGGAGTATCAAGCACAAAATCGAAGCTTGTGATCCAGGGGCTGTGCATGTGTGTCATATGTGTAGAAGTCAACTGGTGAAAACAGCTGTGCCTCTGCTAGTGGCTCCTCGTAAGACACTTCGTTCCAGGGCGGCGAGGTGTCAAAGTCCAGCAGTGCTTCCCGAACATCTCTGAAACCTCCAGATCTGAAAGTCTTAAAGTCTCTCTCTTTAAGTCTCTTCTTCCACTGGGCATAAGGGACTGGTTAAGTCCCCCGGCCACATGGGCCCCGGATCTGTTATGGGGCTTTGAGGAGACTGTGAAAGTCAACATAGGGATACCGCGGTCAGGACTCTAGTTACTTTAAGTCTGTCTCTCTCGACCCCAGTCACCTAACCCTTTTGCAGCCCGGCCTCCTGAGATGTTGCTGGGCTAACAGTGCGAGTACCCCAGGCCCTGGATCCTAAAGCCTGGGGCTAAACTAAAGAAATGCCGGCTTTATGCGGCTGCCGAGCAAAAACAGTCGGACATCATCGAATCAATGTTGCGGGCGCAGCTATTCGCCAGGAGAACGCTCAGGGCAGGGAGGATGGGTCATGGACCCCAAACAGGAAGCTGCCAACATCCTTTGAAGCCGTTTGTGGGACACCTTCTCGTGGCTACTGCCTGTAACTTGGGAACAGGCAGAGTACAGGCTAAAAGGGCTAAAAGGAGATCAGACAGCCAGGCAGCTGTCCCTCAAAAGGCTGCGGAACTCAGCGAGGCCGTTCGCTGCCAAGAGGAAGATGTCCAAATGAACCACATCTGCATTGCCTTTCGCTCTCGCTATGTCTCTAACTCTTTCTGTAGGACCTCAGGGTCCTGTCACCACCCCTCGAGACGTCCCTATGTTAGGGATTTGTTAGGGTGTCGGCCGTTTCTACTGTAACTGTAACAAGAATGTGAAAAAGCATAGTGTGGAAAGTCTCTCTGTCTCTCTGCGAATCTGCTGCTAAAGACCAACCACTCAAGCTTTCAAGCATCCTTATCGTACGATGCAAACGAGCGGCGGCTGGCCAAGGAATCGAACAAGCCGTCCTCACATCAAAGGACATGAAAGTCCTCTACGAGATTACGACCCGGCAGATCATGCATGATGGTCAGAAAATGCGGCAACTGACACTTGCGCGGCCGACACACTCGCGTGAGAAGAAAGGATCCCGAAACAATTCCCACACTGTCTTCTTACAGGGTTCTTTCTGACTGAACCTGCCAAGGCTCTACGTTTTCGCCGCTGATAGCCAATGCTGTGGCCATGACCTCTCACAAATGCAGCTCGCGCAGGACTGGCATGGCATAGGCTGAGCCCACTCCGACCAAGAGAGATCCGAACTTTGCCTCCGCCGCTCAAAGCAATCACCGAAATTCTTCCGCCCTCAAGTTCCCAACTCCTTCGGATTCCTTCGGACAAGACCTCGAATTCCGAGCGCTGTAGCAAGCGGTCGCCGTTGGCATCGAAGGACAGGAAGGCCTGGCACGTTCGGTGCGCAAAGTCTCGGGTCAGAGAAGCTCATCGGGAGGGGAGGAGCATCGCCCCAAGCACTAACTGCTGCCTTCGCACCCTATAGGGCCCCAAGTCCCAAGTCAAGCCATGCCATGGCACCTCCACGCCGGCAGTGAAGACGGATTGGACAAGGGTCCGAAGCCCCATGACCTCCAGAGGCTTCAACAGCTAAGTGCGAGTCGAAACCGCTCAAGCCTGAGGACTAAGCCGGGAAAGCTCCACCTATTGAAATTGTTGGGCGATATCCTTTTTCGCCGCGAGACTCGTTTTCTGCTCGGCAGGGCTTGCCTCCACGGAGCCAACCGCCAAGCCAAAATCTTCAACCGACACCTTGCAGCATGAGTAAGAACTCGGATGAAAACAAAGATGAGGACCGCGCCTCACCAACCAACGCTTCATCCACTGCTCGGAAGACCTCATGCAAGTGCCAATGATGCCAGGCACTGCGCAACAAAGAACCGGTTCCATCTCTGCCCGAGCCACCGTCGCTGCTGTGACGTTGCCGCGCAGAGCCAGGCTGCGGCAGCCGAGGCGTTGGAGCTCCTCTCGCAGAGCAGCGGCACAGAAAACATGGCGGGCGCGCGGCACTGTCGCAAGGAAATTCGGAAGCGCGCGCCAGCTCAGAGACGAGGCCGTTGCCATCGAAGTCAGCGACTTGAAAGGTGTTCTCCTCGGCCATCAGATCATCAGTCGCAAGCAGGAAAACCGTGTAGTGTAAGCCAACTTCCAACATCTCCAAATCACCATCCCCACGCGCCCCTCACTGAATCCGTCTCGAGCATCTGGATTGTCGAAGGTCCAGGAGATAAGCCTAGCAGAGCGATTCGCAGTTCTTCCTGATTCTGCAGACTACCACCGTGCGCCGTTCTGGCCGTCGCAACTACGCACCCGGGCATGAATGTCACTACCACGACGCAAAGGCGACCGCTCAGTCCCCCATGTTTATGCCTGCGGAAATCGAAGAGCTTCAAGTCGTTGCCAGACACCACATGCATCTCTGCACGCGACAACGCCCCCGACGAATCCGTGTCCAGGGTCTCGAACCTTGCCAATCGTTGGCTTTAGGGCTACAATGAGCTACCAACGACTTCTCTCGGCTGTCTTAGCCACAGTCACTGATCTTTAAGGCCTGGGCAGGGTCGATGCCTCTGTCGCTCCGATGAACAAGTCCAGCAAGAAGGTCGCAAACTCCTCAGACCGTCTATTGCACAAGACAGCATGTCTTGCACATCACATATACAAGCACGTATGTACCTACCTACATACAACATGTATGCACACTCTACTTGAAAGAAATTCAGGGAACGGCGCACACTGTTACTGCCGAAAGGCGGGTCTGAGCAAGCAAGCGGACTTACGCCCTTCTTTTACCACCAAGCGAACAAACGACGTGTAAGAATGCTTCCTGAGCTGTACAAGTCAACCTCAGAATGAGAAGCAACATCTGTCGTTATGGTACACTTCTTGATTTGTGTGTGTCTAAAAAAGACTGACTGCTGAAGGTCTGGGCTCCTCGGCCTAAGCCTACCTGAACCCTCGTTTCCAGCCAACATGGCTAGCAGCACCCCTCTGGTTGCCTGAGCACACAAGCATGTTGCAGACGCTGATCTCCAAACACTCCCCCAAATGGAAGCACCTTCCATTTCCAGTACACCCTTCGCCTCTCGGAAGTATACAACCTCCTGCACGGCTTAGGGGGCCGCCCACTTACAGCACCTGCATAGCCTGCGTGCCTCAAGCTCTTCAGCTCGATCTAGAGCTTCGCAGCTTTCGGACATGTGAACACACTTACCAGAACGTGTAAAGTATGCTGTTTGACCTGCTTTATGAGCAGGCCGGCAGTTTCCCTCACTACAGTAGGGACACAGGTTTCTCACAATCGGAGCACTAGCAAATTGCATTGGCCTCGAGGTGAGTGTACTGTGGACACAGTCGCCATTCTTCGTCAAATAAACCAGATTGCGCTGCTCTTGAGGAGGACAACTCATGATAACATCCTTCTTAGTACCATATGGACGCTTCAAACGGTCTACAGGGATGCGGTCTGCTTGTCTTTCAACTGGCCTACTGGAGTCTTGAACCCTGGTTTGGCCTACTACCACTGGAACCTTCTCACAGGTCTGACCAACTCCATCTTCAGAAGCCCTCGAGTCTAGGTTCTTTCTACTGGACTGGCTGGGGTTTGGGCCTAAACCACTACTTGGATCACCTGGGCATTGCGTACTGACACCCGAGATATTAGGGTCCGGGCCTAAACCACAACGGGGATTCCTTGGACCCTGCGCACTGGTGCCTGCAAGATTAGGGATCGGGCCTAAACCACAATTGGGGTCACTCGGGCCTGGCGTACTGGTGCTTGAGAGATTAGGGGTCGGGCCTAAACCACAACTGGGATTACTTGGGCCTGGCGTACTGGTGCTTGAGAGATTAGGGTTCGGGCCTAAACCACAAGGAGGACCTACTGGGTGATTCCTACTAACCTCTGTCACTTCGGCACGCACAGTAACATTCACTGTCGGAGAAAGCTGCATTGTCTCAACACTTCGCCTTCGTAGACCTTCATCTGCCCTTGCCCGAGGAGTTCGCACCCCCCCCCGACTCTCCCTCTTGCAACTCACACAAGACTTCGTTACGCAAGTTCCCACACTTGATGCACAGGCATGCACCAAATGCTCCAAGCGACGTGAAGCACACTGCTAGCAGAACTATGCACGCCCACAACTCCCAGGTCCCATCTGAAGTATCCACTTCAACCCCGTGAGCCTGAACCGAAGACACTGACGCTGCAAGACTTGCAAGAATCAGACTCCCACCGCTACCACTAGAATGACCTGATCTACTACTTCCTGAACTCTGCCCTCGGGGCATACCGGAATCTGTGGTCCATTCTCCTACTGAAGACTCTTCAGAGTCACTTCCGAGCTCCACCACATCATCTACATACACAACCTGACGAGCCCTAGGCAAAGGAATGGGAAGCTCCGGAGGCATCGGCACTGTTGGAGCTCTGGCCCCCTGTAACGCCTCAGGAAGATTCACAAAGGGCCTTGGGCCTTCATTTGGTCCTTGTATGTATGCATGCGCCGCATCATCTTGCCCTGAGCTGGTAGGAAGGCGAATTTCGGGTGACCCTGTCCTATTAACCGGACCTACCGCTGAACCTAACCCGCCCCCAAACTCATTGTCCCGATCTGCGCTCATTGCGGCTTCACACAAGTCCTCATACGTAGACTCATATCTAGCTATCAGGGCTTCCTCCGCTCGAGGGGACAACTCCCAAGCCACACCCTCTGATTGCACCTGGATCCCAGTGCCAAACTCCCCCGGCTCCAAGCCGGCTTCTAGCTCAAGCTCTTCAGTCTGAGCCGCCTGATGACAATACTTTTGTTCTGGGGGCCAGGTTCTGGGTTCCCTAGCAACCGGATCCATTCGAAACCATTTATTGATAATCATCCCAACTTTCCCAGCGAACCACCATCCACACCCTATTCCGAATCCTACTACGAAACTCTGCCACAGTAACTGAAGATCACTGGTGGGAACGCTCAAGGGGCTTGCGTGGGCTCCAGACATCTGGATGACTAACAGGAGAGCAACCAAGGCTTTGGCCACGCCGGTCTGTCCTGTAGTAACTGCAGCAACCTGGTGCCTAGGAGGATCCTCTGACTTCTCTAGATGAGGAGCCCACATATCGCAAACTCGGATTAAGTCCTCCAGTCTAGCCTGTCCTACTGACTTAGTGCCAAGGTCCGCTGGCATGAAGACTCCTTCCAAATGCGACAGTTGCCACAAACCGTCCTCAATGTCCTGACGTATGACTGCACCTCGAAGTCTCAAGTGACGGGTCCTCCATGACCCCGCTTCAAGAACGCACAGCTGGACCGCCGCAGCATTATCACAGTACAATCGGCAATCAACTTTGGTTTCTGCCAGATCAAGCAAAGCGGCGATTGTAGGTCTCATCGACTTCCCCAACAAATGCCCCTCCGCCAATGAATACAGCTCACTCTCAGCTGTGTGGGATGCTATGAGCGTCTGTCGACTTGCACCCCAGGCGATCAGCGCTCCTGCCCAGTACATGTGGATGCTGCCAAAGCTTCGACTTTGCTCATCCGCGCAAAATGACGCATCAGTGAACACGTCGATGCTAGCCTCAACCTCCTGGTACTTCAGTTGGTTCCATTTGCCACAACCCCCACTGGCCCGACCGTAATGCAGTCCCATCCTTGGAGCATGTCTGAGATACCGTATCAGGTGTTCAGCTCTGGCCAAAGACTCCGCCGGATGTATCGCAATCTTCTGGCCTGCCATACTCACCCCAAATGCCAGGTCTGGCCTGGTTCGATTCGACACCCACAGAAGTTGGCCCACCAAAGTTTGAGCTCGTTTAGTGATTCGGTGCCTCTCTCCGTCCTCATCTACGTCTCCAACGTCATACTGCTTAACCGCGGGGACCTGCTCCTTACCCGTAATTTCCTCACGGTACTGGTCCAGTAGGTCCATCACATAACTGGTCTGATGCATCAAGTAACCCAAGCTGGTCCTCTGGATCTGAAAACCACTGAACTTTACCTCATCCCCGGGTTCCAATAGGTACTCCGGAGTAGACAGCTGCCATGCAATTTGAGGTGCGTCCAGCACAGCCTTCAACAGAGCTTGAGGGCCCGCAATCATGATATCATCCACATATAGTCCAAGCAATCCCAGAGTCCCTTCAGGCGGACCCTCACCGCCTTTCTCATCTGGCTCGAACTTCAGTTTCCACATGTTCGCATCTTCCAGCATAGGAATACACCTTACCGTTCCTGACCGATATGGAATCTTCAAGTCACGAAGGATCTTATTGCGATGGGTAACCCAACACTTGGGCGACACTGCTAGGCCGTACATTGCCTTCTGCACTAGCCAGTAGCGCTCTGAACAGACACCAGAGGCTCTCAATATATGAGGAACTTTGACCACAATGACCCTAGGCTTGCCCACACTGTGACCAGCAATCACCGGAGCCTGGAGGAATGCAGCCTTTACGTCTGCCGTAGCAATTCTCCAGTCTTCTTTCATGGCCGCCCGACGCACCAACATTCGGATTCCTTCGCCCCCAATCCCTGAGGCAAACAACTCCGACTTAGAATGGCTTTCACTGCTCTGATGATTCCCACAACACACAATGCGGGCACGACGACGGCCAGTAGACTTGTGCACATACACCCCCTTCCCGGGGATTAGCTCAAGTGATATGGAAGTATCATTGAGGAGCTCAGAAAACTCTTGATCTGATAGGGGCTTCACAGTTCCAGAATCCTTAGTCAAATTGTCATATTCTTCTTGCAGTGGCCCACACCATTTTGGCATCTCCCTTCGCACCTGCTCCTGAGAAATTATCTTAGATTGAAGGGTGGCCTCATCCTCCGGGTCACCAGAAGGAGGCACTGTTGTGTCCTCCCCAGTGTTCCCCAAGTCTTCTCCAGATGACTCCACGGCAATTCCCAAAGAGCACATAACCGGATGCAGCGCTGACGTAGCTCCCATGTTTTCCAGCGTCTGAAGTGCCCTTAACTCAAGCCGCTTAATCCCAGTAAGCTCCTCCTCTAATTTATGAACCTCTTCTAGCCAACCATCCTCTCCCCACGCAGCCAGCAATCCCCTTCTGCCCCAAGGTCCTCAAGCATTTTGCACCTCGTATGGTGCTCTGCAGCTAAGACCTTCGCTGAAGCCTCCAACGAGCCGGTCATGGGCCAGGCTACTCTCTCAAGAAGGCATTCCGATGCACCAACTCCTTGGGATGCACCGCATGGCTGTAAAGCGCGCAACTCCACAGGAACTTCGTACGGCAGAGGGTCTTTCTCGGCTTCATCCACATCAGGATCACTTTCCACAAGTTTACATGCCTCAACTGCCAAACGTTGGATTTCAACTTGCAAACAGGCGTACATGACCGCCCTTGGACACCTAGCGGGAAACTCTTCACATACCGTGACTTTTTCGCTTGCAGGAGTCACGAGCTCCACGCCTTTGACCCTGTCATCAACCAAATCATCACACCTCAACCGTGGAACTAAACCTTTACCCCCATGGTCCTGGCTAAGTGGTCGACGGGATGGAGGGCGTTCACAGTGGGCCTCCAACAGGGTTCGCCCGGCTTCGGATTTCAAACTGCATATCCTAAACCTTGCTGCGTATCTCGCCCCCCA